AATTAAAAATTATAAATATAATACTTATTTATAAGTATATTGTAAATATATTAATTAAGTTATTATTAAATTGAATATAATTTTTATAGTGACCTGACCGGGGTTTGAATCCAAGATTCTGCGGTTAAAGGACCGGTGCCATTACCACTGCACCAAAATGGTCAGATAATATTCTTTTAGTAAAATGATTTTTATCGTATTTACAATTTTAATGTTGAATAAAAGTAAAACATGTGAAATATTTTAGTAATAAAAAATTTAAGATAAAATTCATGTTTCTTTTAATAATTTAATTGGAAAACAAAAAGTTCGCTAAGTTTTGGGTATTTTAACATTCATTGTGACATTTACTACATTAATAGCATGTATATTGGGCTGCTAAGTAGGATATTATTAAACATGAATGTGTGTATATGTGTTGTACTTAAAAAAATATTATTTGGAATTATTAAGAATGTAAATTTTATGTGTAACTTATAAGAAATGGTTATTAATTAATATGTGACTAGTAATTAATATTTGGAAATAATATTTTTTATTTGTTAATATTTTTTAATTATGTAAGTATTTCAAAAACCCTCTTTCAAACACAAAAATATATTAAAAGGATTTTATATGTTTGCAAGTATGAGTCATTCGAATACTTTAACATTTTTTTTTCAAATTTTTCCCGCGATTAGCTGCTATCCAAAATTTTTATATAAAACAAAGTACAATATAAAATTTAAATAATGGTGCTAAAGTCAGGAATCGGTTATGACCCCGGCCTCATAACCGAAGGGCCTCGGTTTCAAAATCTGGTCACGTTACTATAATATATGTATGTACTTAATAATATATAGCTTAATATATAATATTATAAAATAAAAAGAAAATGTTAATATAAATCGCCCGTGTGGACAATCGCCCACGTATCCAGTATATTGAATATTGAATACCAACAAAAATAAGCACATATATCAATAACTTTCAATATTTAGTGTAAAGAAAAAACTGTAGCATTCTGGCCACCGTCTAGGTAAATCAATGACCAGTAAAACTGAGGTTGGATTTTAAAGCCAAGTTGAAGGTGATAATGCTGCCAAAGTGGAGTTAATTTTCGTGTTTAATAAGCTTTGTCCAGTGATTTAAATTTAAGATTTGATTATTTAAAATTCTTGACTTAAAACTATTATATTCTTAAAAAACTTTGTTGAAAATTTTTTGTAATTACTGTACGGAATAATAGTATACAAAATTTTTAATAGAAATATGTGGTCATAGTTTCATAGAATTCCAATTCAATGAATGGAGTTGTTGGTGAATAACCTTTCAATTTTTCTTCTATTTATCCATAAAGAGTTCAAAATGCTTTTTCTTTCTATAGATGAATATGAAAATGCAGATATTTTTGAATATTTAAAATTATATATAAAATAAGTAATAACTAATAAGGAAATTCAATACCTTTCATTTGTATAATTTTACAATTTTCACCTAAATATCTTATGGTTTTGCATATCTCAAATTATTGATTACAAGTAAATATTATATGTATAGATATATATATATAAATATTTAATATACAGAATATTATGTATATATAAGTGTTATATAAGAAATACAATTATATTTTAGAAAGCTAGCTGCTCTAGTAAATTTTCTATTGATATGTTAGATTTATTATAAAAATTTAATGAAAATATTTCCATCTATGTATGTGATGGTATAGTAGGACATTAAGGTTAAAAAGAATTTTTGCTATGTGAAAATTTTCAATTCCAGTTTAATGAAAAATATTTTATACCTTTACGTAGTAGAGTTATAAGAAATTTATTTTCAATACGAGTGATATACGATGAATTTGAATAAAGATGTGGATTTGAGGAAATTATATTGAGTCTTATGCTATTCATAATAATATTTATCCAAATTTTGTAATTATTTGAATACATTTTTTGAATTATTACTACAAAAGATTGTACTCTTCTTTACCCTATTGTAGATAAAATTGAGCTCGGATAATTTTGATTTAATATTCAATTTAAAGTTAAGAATTTCTGTAAAATTTCTTTTTAAAAGCATAAGAAATAAATTCTAGCAGAATCAAAATAACTATCTTAATTTCAGTCAATCACAAATTTTATAATTTTCATCTCTTCGCAGATTATGGAACACTTTATTTTCCTTTAATGAACCTCTTAAATTTGAATGAGGAAAAGATTTTTCATACTTTATATTTAAACATAACAATCATACCCTTAATGAAGAATTTTTTATTGTAATTAATGATGCACGAATATTATGGGTAATAAATTTACTTTGGGTTATGTTGTGTAAGAGAGAGAGAGAAAAAGAGAGGGAGAGAAATAATATCGAAAAAAATATCATTTCCAGTTTATAAATTAATTACTTCATATTATAATTTATTTATTTAGTATGTAAGTATGTAACTATTTTCTCTATATACCTTTAACATAACGAAGTAAAGTAAAAGTGTGCTGACATTTGAAGGGTTTCTTTCTTTTTTTTTGCATATTTACATACATACCATTTGAATTATGTATATGTGTATTCAGTTGTTTATTTAAATGTGTTAAACTATTACTTTGAACAATGTTAATGTAGAAATTTGCAAGGAAATTTGATATTTTTGTCTAAGTTTTTGTTTTTTCAATTGTCTTGAATTTTATTACTCTAATATGAAGTTCTCAGGTTAATGTTTCCAAAGTATAACACATATGTATATTATGTTTTTGCCATAGAAAATATCGAAGAGTAGATTATGACATGTTTTGGTTCTTCATTTAAATTTTACAATTATAACGCTATGTTATTGGAAGGTGCAACAAAATTGCTATGAAATTAAAAAAAAATAGTTGTTATTTTAACAAAATAATTTTGAATACACATAACGTAAAGAATTCTATTTGGTATAGTCAAATTTATACTTATAGTTTCATAACAAAGTGGAATTTTATAACAAAGTGAATCTTTGAAAAAATATATATCAAACTCTAGGGAATTCGAGTATATGGTAAAATTCGAAGTTTGCAATTTTTGCTTGTGATAACAGAATTCCGTTTTGTTTGTAATTTTTTAAGAATTTCAATGAATACTCGTAATAGAACGTAATAGAACGTAATAAAACTTAATTGTAGAACAAAAACGAAATTGCAATTCTAAGAATTTTCAGGACAAAATTAAATGCATATTATATTTAAGATAAGCCAGTTAATTAAATCGTAAAAACTAGAATTTGCATTCTCGAAAAAAGGAGTTAACTCTAAATCAATGTTACTGAAAGGGATTTTCACATCTTAAATTCTAATTGAAGTTGTTCATTTTTATTTACTGGTTCCTATCAAAGAGGTCACACTATTCAAGTATTAATTTTAGGAAGCTATAGATACTTTGTTTATTTCGTTTTTCAAAAAGTAAAAATTATTATGGCATTGCTTTTATATTGTTAAAGTTAGTAGAGATGTAAGGGTTACTCGTAAGCTCTATAACAATAATTTTATTAGATAAATTTCGATGTACTATGTATGCATGGATGTGTCTATATTTTTAGTAGAAATGTAAATTTAAATAAAATTTTAAATCTTTTATTTTTATCAAAACAAAAAATTTTACTTTCTATTTAAAAATTCTAAAATTTTTGAATAAAAATAAAATCATTAAGATAAGAACTTTCTTGACATTTTATTTTTATATATAAGTTTCCCTAATTTATTTATCAAAATTATCACATCTCTGAAAACTAAACACTAATAAATCATTAAAGAAAAAAAAAATATAAGAAAAATAAAATTACAAAAAGAAAAGTTTGTGTTAAGGTATTAGAAATATAAACAACTTTACCTATGTTCACAGATCAGACGAGACGAATGAAGCTTATTTTGTTTTAAAAGATATTTGCAGAATGTTTAAAATAATTTCGTTCATTTGATTGTAAATTTTCAGCTTTAAATTTTTATTCACAAGTTTTAGTTCAATTATTCACAGAAATTTATTTTGCAGAATGAATGAATGCAGAATTTTTACTAAAAATTTTTTCAATAAATTTTCGGTAAAATTTTTGTATTATGTTTTCAAAATATTCGGAAATTCAAAAATTTTCGAAATTTTCAAAAAGTTCAATATTTTGAAAAAAAATTCAAAAATTTGCGGTATTTTCAAAAATTCGAAATTTTCGAACGATTAATAAAACTTTCAGAATATTTCGAAAAAATTTTAAAAATTTCTGAATATTATAAAAATTCGAAATTCGAATGTTCCAAATTTTTAGAAATATTCTTAAATATGTCGAAATATTCGAAAATTCAAACTTCTTCGAAATATTCGAAAATTAGAATTTCTTCAAAAACTTTGAAATATTTGAAAACTTCTTCGAAGCTTAAGGTCTGGTGATTCAACTTTTTGAACCAGCTACGGTATGAGCTTTTTTATAATTGAGAATGTGAGACTTTTGGTTACGACGCTAACTACAAGATTGTATGGCTTTAGAAATTTATTTTCAGTGTCAAATACTTTCTTAGAACAAGATTTTTATAATAAAGAACGAACGGACAACTTTTACAATGATTCGAAATAAAAATTTTTTGTTTTGGAACAATAAGATTTCTGTACATACCATTATTATAATTATTATGTTCGTCCCATAACTATGTTTACCACCTTTAAATAAACACTGTTATTATTAATTATGAAGACTGAAGAGACAAAAAAGAAGAGAGAAGATAAAGAAAATACATTGGAACCTCAAATTTTGTTTCGTTTCTCTATTTAATTTTTTTGTTTTAAAAAAAATTCAATTCCATTGCATGAAATAAAATTTTAGTTTTTTACGTGATTTTTAACGGTAATGACGTTTTTAATAATGGTAATTCTTCAAAAACGCATCGAAAAGAAAATAATTTTTTTTTAATTGGAAAAAAATTTTAATTAATATTTTATTGCATTTTAAATGATTTAAAAAAAAAAAAAATTTAATTATAAAAATTTAAAAAGAAAGCAATATGGCTGACTTGGAATTATTAAAATTTAAAAATGAAACAATAATCAATGAAACGGATATTATAAAATCAAATGGAACCGATGAATCATTATTAAATGTTAATGGTAATAATAAAAATAGTAATAATGGTACACAATTTCCAGTACGAAGTTATAATAAATGGTCACCTAGTGAACAAGGTGCAACAATTGTATGGCGTGATTTATGCGTTTATTCAACTGGACATAATCAATCGGATTTACGTGATTTAAAACGTATAATAAATAATTCTACAGGTGCAATACAACCAGGTTCATTAATGGCCCTAATGGGATCAAGGTATGTATATTCTTTATATATATATATAGTTATATATTTTTATGATTTTATATGCAATTCTATATTGTGAATATTCTATATTTTCACGTCCTGTAAAAGTTTTTCTTTGTTGTTCCAATAAAAAATATCCTTTAATACTTTGTATCACCATTGCTATACGCTGAATAATTCTGAATAATGCCATTATTTCAAAAGTGTATTCTTTTATGGATTGAAGTAAAAAATTTGTTATTATTACAAATATTTTTCTGATTGTTTTGTTTATGTATAAAAGATAGTATTGGTATTGTTTTGGTGCCATATTTCATATGTCAGATTTTGACAGATATAAATTTATTTATACCTCATGGAATTGATCTACATATTGAGTGCATTTGTATAATTCAGTTATTACTAGTACAACTCATGCATTTTATGATCATTTTTGTCTGAGTTACGAGTAATAGTCGAAATGGAGGAAAATTTATTAAAATTTTTTAAATTAATTTCGCTCTGTAGGATTTAGATTTGCTGTACAGAAATTTTCGACTTATAAATTCAAACGGTGCGACAAAGTGAATTATAAAAACTAGGAAAATCTACTCCTTGGAAGGTGTAAATATTTTGTTTTTGAATGAACCTCTGAAGTCCTGCTTTGGTTAGTTTTGTAAGTCATCATCATCTCTTGGTTTTACAGTTCGGAATGAGCCTTAACCTCAGTCACAATCTTCTTCCATTTCGATCTATCTTGAGCGATAGCTTTCCATCTGTGTACACTGATTTTTCTATAATCTCCTTCTATTTCATTGAATCATATAAACCTTGGTCCGCCTCTTGTTCTAATATTGTGCGGTGTCACGTGAATATATTCTTTAAGACATTCTATCATCTGTCATTCTCAGAAAATGACCGGCCCATCTTAATCTTTGTGATTTTATAAATTTTATTCCATTTTGTCTATTTATTAATTCTTCCAACTCTTTTTTGGTTCTTTTTCTGTATTCATGATTTTCGTCTATTTTGGGACCAAATATTTTTCTTAGTATATTTCCTTCGAATATTTTAAGATTTTCTTCATCGTTTTTAGTTATCACCCAGGATTCACAGCTATATGTTAGTACAGGCTGAATAATAGTTTTATACATTCTCAGTTCAATTGTCTGGTAAATAGTAGCCCGGATTTAATCTGTTAGTATTTTATTAAATATTATAATTATAATTGACAAAATGTATGACACAGTCTGTAAGATTCTGTTCTGCTCATATAACAAACATTTTTTTTTGTGCTCAATGCAATGTGTTAATAACAATGTAAAAGTGTTAATTATTTTAATTACCATAAAAAATTTTATTTTATTTTTTTTTTGAGCTAATATTGGTTTTTAGTATTATATCGTCAGTTCAATTACTTGAAACTGTTTAAATTTCCGAAATTGGTTAAATTTTAAAGTAAAGAAATAATAAATTGCATTTTGTATGCATTTTGTATTAGTGTTAAACCATAGGTGTGTATTTTAGTAAAAAAAAATTAATGAAGCGGAAAATTAATTTTTAAAATAGACTTTTCACAAAAAACAAAACGAGATTAGATTTTATAGATGACATTCATAATTTCACGTATATTTATTTATTCGGTTATAAATTCCCAAAAATTTTTATCATTATTGTTTAAAACTACCGACGAAATTAATAATGACGTAGGAGTGTAAATTGTTGTGACATATTATTTTTAGATGGTTTTATTTTTTATGATAGTTTCGTAGTTAATAATGTAAACCAAAAATAGAATTTAGAATATCCAATTTAAATTTTAATGATTAGATAACCTGAATTATTTGTAAAGTGGAGGTACTTTTTTTTTGTGGAGGAGTGCTACAAAATTTATTGTATAAATATTTGTTGAAAATATTTGTTTGATTTTTTAATGTAGAGCAATAACATGTCACGTATATTGATATGAAAGTTATGACCAACTGAAATCTCACGTACTGTTTTCAAGATTATTAAATTAAAAGTTTACAAAATCTTTTCTGATTATACTTGTTTTTAAAAGTAGTACATTTGATTTTTTATATATGGCTAATTTATTGCTATAAACTTGCCATGGAAAATTCCTCAATTGGCAAGAAATTTTCTAATAATAAAACTGATAAATTTTTTATTCATAAATTTTGAATAATTCAGATTATTTTCTGTACCTCATTTATCTAACTTTGAATTTCACAAATTGTAAACTAATATAATTAAATTTAAAATATTAGATACAATATACTCAGTTTGAATTACCATGAAATTTAGTTTTCAGCCTAAACGCAGGCAATATATTTTTCATTTTCTTGGAAATTTTTATTATAAATTTAAAATTTGTGTAAATTCAGTGAAATTATTTTAGGGCAAAATTAGTTTGTAACATTTTTAAATAATTTTTTTTTAAGAAATAAATGAGAATATCAATAAATTGTGAACCTGACAGTTCCCGATTTTGTCAGGTTTATTTTTGGACAAAATTGTAAGAATTAAATGTATACGTTTAAGTTTTAGTTTCAATTTTCTGAATTAAATTTAATAATTTTTTGAATTTTAATTTTGAAGTGAGCTTTCTTAATTTTTATTAGTGGAACTTTTTATTCTGCCAAAACTTAATTAGCGTACTTGCATCATATTTAGTATCGATAAGTTTGGGTATAAATATTAAAAGACAAAATTAGTTTTTGCAGTAAATATGAACTTTAAACTAAACTTATTCCAAATATATTTTTTTTAACCGACCGCGTTGCCTTCGACAGAGAAGGTAAGTTGATGGCACCTAATTTCACATGCGGCTTTTACCGACGGAAATACGTTTCTCAATGCTAGGGAAGCGTAAATAATTTATTTTTAGAGAGATGTCTGTTGGTCTATGAGTCCAGATCAGTATCTCAAGTTCGGCTGAACTGATTTTAATGAAATTTTATATAAATATGAGTTTACTTTAAGGGTGAGACGCTTTGACCAATTTTTGAAATATGTTAGGTCTCGAGAATTGGATTTCTACTACAGGCCAAATTTACATTTTTACGCGAGTAACGATTACCAATCAATTTCTTTGAAATTAAATATTGAATTTCTGTGAAAACAATGAACTTGAAAATTTTTTTGAAAATATTAGTGGCTCGAAAACTGAACTTTTACTAGATCACCAATTTTTATTTTTTTTACCATATACACGGAAGGGATTAATGGAATTTCTTAAAATTTGATATTTGAGTTCTTGTAATCTTTTAAGGGAATTCAGGTGGCACAAAACGAAATTCTATTATGAGCCAAATTTAAACTTTTCTAGGTATATGAACTAAAAGCTTACTAATTTCGTTACAATTGGAAGGAAGCATTTAAAAGGCATAATTTTCATATTTTTGTGCAACAATTTTACTAAACTAGACAACATACCGTGCGGTCGGTTATATGCTGTAGGTTATATGCATTTGCTAATTATACTTACATAAATTCTTCTTTAAACCACAGAATTATGAAAAAATATTAAATTTAAAATTTCGTTATTGTTATGTGCAAGTATATGTGATAGAAATGTTTAAAATTTAACTATAAATTCTTATCCATACATACAACCAATCGAATATGATTATTTGAGATAATGAGGAAAGTTTAGCATGGTATATGTGTACTGTAGGCACATAAGCATAAACGGGTTATTTTTGTTTCCAATATATTGCGTTAATCTTATCTTGCAAAATTTATTAATAAAAATATTTGCCGAATTGATTCTAAATACTATAATGTTAGTGGTACAGCCATTTTTCAATTATATGGATTAGGTTTAGAAGGTATTATTAATTTGCAATTTCATTTGTTACAATATCAGAGCAATATGTGCACAGTAAAAGAGCAATAATTTTCATTTTACAAAATAATGTTCCCTGATTTTGCCATTGACTAAAATATGGTTTCGATTGAAGATAGGTCTAACATTTTTAAACAAAAAATGTGTAAAAATCCATCGGACTAAAATTAATTATTAAAGCAAAATTTTGTTCGTTTTTGTTGTAGCTTTATTTTTGGGCACGATTTACTCACCTTATACAATTGGCTATTACCATAGAATTATATGTCACTATGCACATAGGATAATGTACAACTCCATTGATTTGGAATTAATTTTTATTGGCATTTCAATTAGTTTAAATCTATTCAAATACAAAATATTGAATGTTTTACAATTCCTCAAATACGTCTGTATTTGAGGTTTTTAAAAAAAGAAAATGAAACTGTAATTAATATCGTAATATTTACAGTTAATATGCAATTCTCAAGTGCTCATATTACAAATTTTTTGATATTCTTGTATTATGCCTTTATATAAAATTATAATTTTTTATTTCTTTTGATTTTTTTACAGTGGATCTGGAAAGACAACATTAATGTCAGCGTTAGCATACAGACAACCTGGTAATATACTCTTAATATATGAAAATTGTAATATTAAAATTAATTTAAAATTAAGATCTGTAACTACAAAGTAAGTTTCTAATTCGGTTTAATAATCTTATTTTGTTATATCGATACGTGTATCACATTACAAAATCTGGTATTTGTAATTCTTCTTTCATTCGTGTTTTCGTCTTGTATTGTAGTGGTAAACTTCTTATGGCTGGGTTTTGGAAACGGGAAATCACGTTAGAGATAGCGATTCAAAATTTTTATTTTTTATTTGAATTTATTTTAAAAATATTTAAAATTTTATTTCTTATTTCAGTACTTTATAGAATGGTCATACTATAACAAATAATTGTGGTTGAATTGATTTACAAGCTGTAGGATAAAATAATAGATGAATTTTGACCGGCTATTTAATAAGAGTGCCAATGAAATTATTGATATGGTTTCTCTGCAAAAATGGTCACTAATATAAATAGTATAAAACTTTTTGAGAAATTTAATATACACCAAAGTTTTGAATATTACCATTATGGTTAGAGTTGACAGTAAAAGAAATCTTATTGATCTGTAACTCTAATGACAGGTTATCATATTATAGGCTATATAAAAAAAAAATTGCAACAATATCGCAAACTCACCACAAAACCGATATTTAATAATACGTGTACAATTCACATTATTTTAATGTGGTCAAATTGAAGCTGGGAAACGCCTCTCAAAATTTTGGCTAAATTATATTTAAAAAAATATGAAATATAATTTAACAAACTCGTTCTGTGTTAAATTCTTTCGAAGTTTTTCAAAAATGATCGCCAATACCGCGGTTTTGGTTAATGTTTTGCTTGTGACTATTTTTAAAAGTTGATGCACTATATCCTGTAGCGGATGTTTGGAAAACAACTTAAGAGCCCATATAGCTTTTTTATAAAATCGGAACTTTCATTTATGGGTGCTAAACGCTAAATTGGAGAGGGATACAGCTGATCAATTTTTAGGGGCACATATAGTTATTCTTCTATTTTAGTTTATTTAATTAAAGAATCTTTCTGGTAGAATCCAGCAAAACAACTATGAGAAGCCAAACTTTAACTTCAACTGTCATAACTAAATTTATAATATTTATTTTAAGTCAGAATTCTTTGTTGTCACGCATTATATCAGATTATTTTTATACATAGGTGGCACAATTGTTCAGGGACATATTCTTGTGAATGGACGTAAAATTGGACCATTTATGCATCGTATAAGCGGTTATGTACATCAGGATGATATTTTTATTGAACAACTTACAGTTTTAGAACATTTAACATTCATGGTAATAAAATAAAAATTATATAATAGTAATATTACTAATGATCGTTGTTGAATCACGTTTTTCTTTGAAGGCAAATTTTCGACTTGATCGTCGTATTAGAGGACGTGAACGAAAAGAAAAAATTTACAAATTATTACAAAAAACTGGTTTATTAAGATGTGCTAATTCAAGAATTGGTTCGGGTGATGAAAGAAAAGTATTATCTGGTGGTGAAAAAAAAAGATTAGCTTTTGCAAGTGAACTTTTACATAATCCAATTATATTATTCTGTGATGAACCAACAACTGGTTTAGATGCATATAGTGCACAACAAATTGTAAAAACTCTCTATGAATTAGCAAAAAGTGGCACAACAATATTATGCACAATCCATCAACCATCAAGTCAACTTTTTTCAATGTTTAATAATCTTTTATTATTAGCGGATGGTCGTGTTGCTTTCACTGGTTCACCAGAACAAGCATTACAATTTTTTGCTGATAACGGATATCATTGTCCAAAATCATATAATTCAGCTGATTTTCTTATTGGTGTATTAGCAACGGATCCTGGGCATGAAAGAGCATCAGAAAGGGCAGCTCAATATTTATGTGATGTGTAAGTAATTAAATGCTATAGGAAGAAAAGTTATAAGTTATTTAATAATAATATAATTTTTTTTGTATTGTAGATTTGCAGTTAGTCAAGCAGCAAAACAACGCGATATGCTAGTTAATTTAGAATTTCATATGGCCGAATCATCTGATTATCCATATGAAACGGAAATAATTGATTTTCGTAAACCATTTTGGATATTAACTTTCTATAGGTTGTGGTATAGAAATAGTCTAATAGTAATTAGAGATCCAACAGTACAAGTTTTAAGAGTTTTACAAAAAATGGTAAATTTTTTTGGTTTAATTTTTGTAATATAGGAGAATGAAGACTATCCTTAGACTAAATATATTTTATTACAGGTTTTAGCTCTTGTAATAGGTTTATGTTTTGCCGGTACAACAAATTTAACACAAGTTGGAATACAAGCTGTACAAGGTGCTCTGTTTGTAATGATATCAGAGAATACATTTAATGCAATGTATTCAATGTTGGATTATTTTCCACGTGGTTTTCCATTATTTTTGAGAGAAAAAAGTTCCGGTCTTTATAGTACAGCACAATATTATTTTTCAAATGTACTTGCAATGGTATAAAATTTTTCAATTTTAGAATTTAATTATCAAATATGTATAAATATTTTTTTCTATTCAAGTTACCTGGACTAATTATTGAACCATTTCTATTTGTTATAATTTGTTATTGGATAATTGGATTAAAACCAACATTTTTTGCATTTGGTATAACAACAATATGTGTTATACTTGTTATGAATGTATCAACTGCTTGTGGTATAATGTTTTCAACAGCATTCAATTCGGTTGCAAGAGCAATAACTTTTTTAATACCAATTGATTACATTTTTATGATTACTTCTGGTATATTCATCAAAATAAGGTAAGTGGGACACAAGGAAAAAAAAAATATAAAAATTTTATTTAAAACTTTTTTACACAATTTTTTTTTTTTGTTTTTTGCCCTGCATGTACTGCGGTTACAAGTATGCAAATTGTTTTAGTAAACATTCTCGGAAATAGTTTCAAAAGTTTAAAATTATTTTCTCAGATTTTATGCTAATGTCGTAAAATATTGAAATTTTTTTTTGAGTTCTAGAATTTTCTTGATTTCTTTAGAATTTTAAGAAAATATCCGGAAATATTTTTTCCTTCTTTTAATTTTCTTACAACATAAACAACAAAACAAGTACATAATTTTGAAATAACTTTCTATTAACTATGGTACTTGCTATAATATAATAGAACTTGTGAAACGACACATCTAGTAAAGGACTTTAAATATTTATGAAAGAAGAAAAAAAAGTTTTCCTTACCAACACAACTTATAAAAAAACTTTCTCTTTTCTCGACTTTCTAACAAATTTTATCCATTCTTGATTGCAGAAAAGTTACGAAAGTTTATTTTTAGTTCCAAGTGTTATTATGTTAGAATAAGGACCATTATGCGTCAAGATTCTTGTATAAATCAAAATATATCTATAGATATGAATATGGCTTAAAAACTATTAGTTAAATTTATAGTCTTTCCGGAATACAATGTCGGCAATTTAAAGTTTTTAGCATTTAAAGAAAATATTTTTAAAATTTATATAAATAGTTTTAACTCTTTACAAATTAGGTAATTATTAATTACAGCTGACTATTGATTTTATGTAAATTAGATTTCGACCCCCGACTGTTAGATGGTCTACAAGACGTAAATCGTGACATAAATTACATTTTATATTTTGTTTGTTGAATGTTTTATTTTAAATGGCGTTTTTTTTTTAATCAAGAAATTTCTGGATGGATGAGCCAAATTAATTTTTCCGCAACAAAGCCTGTGCCTGTATATTAGTTGAAAGATTTCTAAAGAAAAACAAAAACATATTAAAAATTCATTAGTACTTGTTAATAAGGCTGATACCGATAAAATATTAAAAATTATTGTTAGCAAGGCTGATGCCGATAATTGAAAATAAGAAATTGATTTTAAAACATCAGTTTAATATAAGGTCTTCCGACTTATAGGTGAGAGGGTTTGAACAAAAAGACTGAAACGAACGAGACCTCTCAATTTTGTATAAAGTGGACAGTACTTTCGTGTCTTCATTCATGGAATGTAGGCACAAAAACACGATAAAGCAAAATTAATAATTAATCAGTTTTGCGAGTTTTGGGAGTTTATGCCCATCGAGGTGAGTTTTAGTTTGGGTTTAAGTCTCTCACAGTTGATAAGTCAGATGACAGTTTTAATCCGCCTATTTTTATTTTTCGATGATTTTTTACACCCTATATACAAAAAAATAAAAATAAATAAAAAAATGTTAGATTAGATAAATAAAAGTTGAACACGTGTACCTTTTAGTTGAAGTGTTGTTTTTCATAAGTCAGTTAATTGTTTGCGTACCTGCTACTTATCATTACTTGTATTTTATGTTTGCCAATGGAAGTGTCACTTTGTTTTCAAAAATTTCATACTTTATTTATAATTATGGAGAAATAAGTATTGTGCAAAATTGCCCTTAATTACCCACAATTCTCAGTTATACAGTTTGTTGTTTAGACAAACTTTTTCGAAGAGTTTGTAGAATGCATTCTAAAATTCGAACTTATCATTAAAAAATTTATTTTGTTTTATTAAATTTACCAACGAATTTGTAAAGGGTGCGCTGCAACTGTTGTTAAAGCTTTCGGGGTGACTCACCCTGTGTTATAATTAATTAACAACTATTAATAATTATATAGGTATAGTACAAGTCTGTTCAAATAAAATATTTTTTAATTTTTTATATTTTTATTTTTATAGCACAATCCCAGCAATTTTCTATTGGACACAATATCTATCATGGATGTTATATGCGAATGAAGTAATGAGTATAGTACAATGGGTCGGAATCGAAAATATTAGTAAGTTTATTTTCTTTTACACCTTCTCTCCTCTGCATTCTCTTTAAATATGAGTGAAAAAAAAAATTACTTCGTTTTGTATGTCTTTGTTTTGCTTCGAAATTTTTATTTCGGAAAAATATTTTTTGTTTTGGTTTCTCTTGTATTTAGTTCTAGTGAAATAATGAAATTTGATTAGATTAATGGAAGAAGCAACACTAAAAAATACGAAATATAAACAAATAAACAATGAGGAAAAACAAAAAAATTTTTTTTCAATTTTTCTCATTTTCATTTTTATTTTTAGCATGCTTTCAAGATAACAATGATCTACCATGTTTACATTCTGGTCAAGATGTTCTCGACAAATACAGTTTTAATGAATTTCATCTCTATTGGAATATTTTTGCAATGTTTATGCTATATTTGGGTTTACATACTTTAGGCTATTTATTTTTATGGAGAAACTCTAGGAGAATTTAATAAAATAGGGTAAATAAAAATTTATTAAGGGAAAAAAACAAGTGAAAGTGCATTTATTGTTATTTTGTAAGAATTTCAATTTTTTGTTTTCTTTTTCTTTTTTTCGAATGTTTCATTTTATATTAACATATGTTTATTCGTATGTAGGGACATTTTAAATAAAATTATTGTTATTATTATTAGATAAAGAATTTAAAGTTTTTTTTTCTCGAATTAATATTGTTTTAAATTAATTAAGATATTAAATCATTTTATTTGTTAATCAATTTGGAAATTATTATTTAATTATACTACTTAAATAAAAAATTGTAAATATTAGAATAAAATTGTAAAAATAATGGTTTATGATAATAGTTTTTTGTTTAAATGGCAGGAACCTTAGTGCAGATGGTGGTTTCCCACTGATTTTGGACTCTCAACGTAGAGAAAAGTAGAGACATACCATGGCACAGAACAATTGAATATTAAAAGATAGAATAGCTAACGGTAAATGCCCTGCCATTAAATAATATAACTATTTTTCTTAACTCGGGCAATTAATTCTTAAATTTGAGCATTATGTAATGTTATTTTTCAATTTTTTGTTTTTTGCCTCATCCTAGAATTATGCAATTTTACGGTTGGTTTGATGTTGGCTATATTTATGGAATAAGTTAGTTAATTACAATAATTATAAGTTGTATAGTTAGTATAAGTAAGTGTCAAATACCTTTATTATATAAATAATTTGTGTATAGTGAGAGCTTTTAGGTAACATTAAATATAGAAAATTTATTCAATGAAACTCATTAATTCTATAGGCTATATTGCGCTGGACATTCGGATTGAATTATAAATTTATCTAATACTGGAAAGCAAATAAGTAACGGCAATTTTTTTCGGGCGGCCAGACATTTTCAAAATAAAATTTTTTATACGGGCCGCACATTCAAAGAATTGATATTCATATTTATCATACTTATTTTTGCATTTGGTGGCGACGCAAACTAAATTATTTGAACACGAACAGTGCGAATAAAGTTTCAGCACAGTAAAGTTAGTGTATCTATTAGATCGAATTTTTGTTGCTAAGCATATTACGTCGCCTTAATGTTCTATTAATTTATTGATTTTTTCTTAAAATATTTTGGCCGTTTACTGGGTATCACAAAGAGTTCTAAAAAACCGAAGGTTACCGACCTCTGGTATAGGGAAACATTGGCTTTGCAATTACGTCTTATATTGTTCGTTCAATTTTTTTTACATTTAAATTACCTTCTTAGAGAAATCAATAATAAAACAACTGCAATATAGAACATTTTTTTTTTGTTTTTTGAAATTTTTTAGAAGAGCTCGCATTTTTATTTCATAAAATATAAAGCTAAACACTAAAATATGACAATTTTTTTAAATATTTTAAATATTTGTTTTTTTTATGTACATATATGCATACTAAATTTTTAATTTATTTTTCTCAAACTTAATTAGATTTTCTTAAAATTAAAAAAGTAATTAATAATTTTTTTACAAACATTTATAAGATGGGATTAACTAGTAATATAAATTTTTCTTATTTTTATAATTAGTTTTTATTTTAATTTTTTACACAATTTTTTTTTCATTCATAAAACTAAAATAAATTAAAAAACGAAAAAGAATTGGTCATTTTTTCCTTGTTCTTCTTGTAACCTTAGGTAACATACACTTATTAATTGTGGACTTTACTTTTGCATTTTAATGATAAAACTTAAAGTTGTATGGCAAGTCTTTTTAAATTTATGCTTCAATTTTGAGTTCATTTATCCTAGAATTAGTTGCTGTATGATTTCTGTTTACAGAAAATTCTTATATGCCATTCGATAAACGGTTATTTAATAAATTTTAGAATATAACAATTTTTTATTAGAATTAGATTTTAAAAATGGATTGGTAGAATTTTAATAAAAATACTAGATATGTAGCTATATTTAATACTAGATATTTTTCGAAAAATAATTTAGTATGAAAGCAGAACTTCTTGGAAGTTTTGTTTGGAAACAAAATGAAATAACAAACTTTTGAAGTAAATCGAATGCCAGTAACTGGAATTTTACTCTAAAAGACCAAAATTGAATCTTTTCGATATTTTGTAAGTCGATTTTACATGTGAGAATTAAAAGTATTTATTGAAATTTAAATTTCAAAATTAAAGTGTCCGAATGTAATGGAGTTTCTCTCTTAAATGTTCTTATATAAATTGAAATATGCTTGTCAACTAAATGTTACGCCATTACCAATATTTTTTGGTAAATTAATTAATAAAAATATGGAACACATTTTATGCTTATGATTACCATCTCAGATTTTGTGGTTATAAGGAAACATAAATTTAAATTGAACTTTCAATTACAACTAAATTTGTATTTTTTGCTAAAAATGTATAAGAAGACTCAAAAAAAATATTTTTACATTAGAAGACCATGGGCAAACAAAGTATTCTGTATGCTCGGAAACTTTATTTTCATATATCTAGTTGGGGGCTTGAATATTTTGTAAATATTTTGTTATTACATAATAAGTTTCTTATACTTCTAAATTTTATTTTTGAATGAAGCATTTTTAAATTCTGTCAAAAAATAATTATTTTTTTTTTTTATTTCTATATGTTTTTTGTAATTATTTTTGATTTCTTAAAATATTAAAAATTTAGGAAGTGTTTAATATATGCAAATACATTATGTACTTTTATTTACATATTAAATTCTTTTTATAGATTCTTATATATAGAGTAAAAGTTCGAAATTTCGCAGATTAATTAAGAATAATAGCTTTTTATTTTACCATATGCAAATGTAACAAATGAATAATATTTATTCTTCATTAATTTATTAAAATAAAACGAGAAGTTGACCGTGTCAACTCGGTGATACCCGTACGAAAAAAAGATTTTGAATGTCGGAGATAATTGACATACAGTTTCATATTATCTCTTGCTTTTTATGTTTGGTACTATTTAATAATCCCATACAATCTATAAAAGTTTTACTAAAAATGATAACCACATCATCAAATTCATTTGCTGGTTAAAAATTTCAGCTTTGTAACTTTAATAATTTCTGAGCTATGAACAAACAGCTTATGAAATCATATGGCAGCTAATTACCACATGCATTCGAAAAATTCTTACATAATATAATCCGAATTGTTCGAAATGTCCGAATAAAAATATTCGCCAATATCATAACTTCTATATATTTCTGAGATTCAACCAAATAAATTTTGGAGTTGCATGAAAGCTCTCCGAACCAGTACCTCGATCATATCCCATTTAAACAGGGTTCTGGTATTTATTATAACAAATCATTTGAGAAAATTTCGAAAATTTAGTTCAATTAGTTTTTGAGTTATCGTTAGGACAGATGAACGGACAGATATGCTTACATCGATTTAAAATTCGACGCTGATTAAAAACATATGCTTTAGTCTATATTTCAGACCATTATTTTTTAGTGTTAGAAACGATAGGGCGAATTTTTTTATACTCTTCGAATATACGTTCGTACGGATATAAAAAAAATATGGTGAATTTTTAATATACAAAATATTGAAAAATTATTAATTTTTGAGGTCTTATAAATTTGTAACCATTTTGTTAACAATTCTTTATTGCAAATAAATTGTGCCGAGCTAGAAGCTCATTCGAGCTAATTGTTAATGAAGAAAATTTATTATAATCTTGTATATTTCAGAATTTTTACTCTTAAATGTACTCTTGGAATTTCATTCCTGGATTTATATAACTTTTTCTTTATATTAAAAATATATTATATTCTTTAAATTCATTATATACATAAATTTTTAAATATTTTTTGTATAGCTACAAGATTTTTTTAAATAGCATAATTTCTATAAAAGTTTATTAATTTAAAATTATATTTTAGTAATTTTGTAATATATTTTTTTAATTTTTGGTTTAGTAATCACAGATTACAATTATGTTATTTATTAAGAACTAACATTTAATCTTAACAGAGACATTTATTTTATACTCTAATATATTTTTGATTTTATATATATAAATATATGTGGCTAATATGTTCATAGGAATTACTCAATTGGTTTTTTTCTTTAATAAATTAATAAAATATATTTTTCTTAAATATTTCATAATACAATTGAATAGTAAAATTAATGAAACCGGGGCAAAAATGTCGATTTTTTTTTTCTTAATTTTTTTGTTTTTAAATAGAATTTTATTCTTATTTTCAAATATTTTAAATTTTTTTAAATTTATTAATGATTAAAATTAAATATGATTGAGATTTAGAAAAGGATGAAATTTATTATATTTTAAAATTTAAGTTATATATTGTCCTAGTTCTGACAGAAGTTCTCAAATCCAATTGAATTATGCGAAAATTTAACTACTGCTTGATATACAAGAATTTTTTAAAAGACACTTTTTAGGACCCATTTTCAATAAAAATTCGTAGATATATCAGAAACCGTCGGAACTATATGTGACCATATATTCGGCGTGACCATATATTCGCCGGCGAGTTTTTTTAAAGTCTCCGTTAGAGCATTTTACGAAATGTACTAATTCCAGCAGATACCACTAAAATTGGTATATTAAATGATTGTTTCAATAAAAGACGTATACAAATGGGTGGATGTTCTTAGCCTGTTCGAATTAATGTTGAATTGGATTTTGAAAATATTTAGAAAAATATGTACGTCTATATTTTCTAAAAGACTTTATTTTAAATATTAATTTAAAAAATAGTAAATTTCAGGATTTGAGATATTTTTGCAGACTTATGACAATAAATAATTTCTATATTTAATGCTATAAAGTGTGATGCTAATTTGAATGCTGTCAATATTTTGGAATTTTGCTTTTTCCTTCTCCTTTTAACTAAAATTTATTATAAATATAAATTTTCACTACTATTTTTAGGATGACTTCAGATAAGCATACTTTTGCTAACTGAATGCTGAATAACATGTATGTTAGTATAAAAATTAAGTTAAATTTCATTTACCTGTCCTTGGTACTATATATTTTCGGACTAAGTAAATTTTTTATTAACAAAGATTTTTAGGACTTCACATGCTGTGTTTAATTCATCTAACTTTTTAAATTGAAACTACAACTTAGTTAGGATTTTCAAATAAAAATATTTTCAGCTTCCCATAAGGATAAAAATAATTTTTTAATTATTGAATTTCATAAATTTGGAGCACTATTTAATTATTATTCTTCTATTTTCTTGACTACTAAATTCCTCTTTGTTCCTACATACATATATAAAACAACAATCTTTTAACATTCATAAATTCTTTGGAAAATTAACAATTTTATTGAATAAAAGATATGTGATCTTATTGAACTTTGTTCATTTTAAAAAGGCGCATGATAAGATTTTATAAGTATAACAAAAGCATTTGAATTAAAATTGTACTTTGTATTTAAAATTTTTAAAATAGGAAAATATTTTTTGAAATCTAAGATTTTTCTAAAACATTAGTTACATCTTTTAATACAAAATTAGTAATACCTTTTGAATGTATAAGTGTTAAACTTTTACTATTTGGTATAATATAAGCTGATGTTGGAGTTGTTGATGTACGAATTGGACATAATGATTGTGAATTTTTAATTGGACTTATTCTTTTACCATCACCATTACAATTTAATAAAATAAAATTTTTAGCTTCTTTTGCTAATAGACAACTATTATTACTATTATTACTATGATGACAATGATTTTCCATAACATTTAAATCTAATGATTTTCGTTTTAATTTATTTACATCATTTACATTTATACAATAATTATTAATATCGGTGCTACTACTATCACCACTACAATTATTATAATTTGAATTTACAATTACAGAGCAATTTTTTATTTTATCACTATTATCAATGCTATTATTATTTGAATTATTTATACTTTTACAATTATTACTGTTGCAATTATTAATTAAATCAATTGAATTTATATGCTTTGAATCTTGTGAACAACTACTATTATATTGATCGGTTTGACGGAATATAATATGTTGTTGATGTTTATTACTTAAATCAGATAAACTAATATCATTTTTTAATAAAATTTCTAAATTTTCAATTGAATCTTTTAAACGATCTGAATATTCTTTTGTAAAATCTTTTCTTAAATCTGTTATTTGATTTCTGGGACATGTTACTGGTAATGGTGGTTTTGTACAACTACTATTACTACTACCACTTTGTGAATTCTGTGACATTTGTAATAATTGATTTGTAGTTGAATTTGTTGTTGTTATTGTTGCTATTGTAGTTGTTGTTGTTGTTGTTAATGATATCATAGAAATTGGTAATCCAGTTCCAGTTCCTGTTGTTATTGTTGATTGTGAATCAGTTGGTGATTCAACTAAATTAACTGCTTTAATACTTGGAATTGTTTGAGCACTTGCTGTATTTACACTACATGAACTATTTGATAGGCTAGGTGTTATACATGCACTAAATGTTGTACCAAATGATGATGATATTTGATGTTGACGGCATAATGATTTTCGACGTTGTGCTGTTGGATTATTTTTCATAATGTTTATATCAAAATCTTGTGTAAAATCATCTGAATTTGTACTATTTTGATTTTGTAAAATATTATTTGGAATGGTATTATTGGCATTATTATTATGATTTAATAATTGATTTTGTTGTGCTATATTTGTTTCATCAATACTTTTATTACTATTTATATTATTATTTGTTATAACTGTTGATTTTCCTTTTAAAAAATATGTTATCATTGTACCTTTACCTTTAACATTAACACTACCACGTAATTCTAATATGAAACCTCTTGGTTCTAATATTTGAAAAATTTCTTGTGTAACCTAGATTTGTTTATTTTTTTTATTGAAAATACAAAATTAGAAATTTAAAATAGAAATTCGAAGAAAAAAAAAAAATTAAAATTTATTTTTTAACTTTTTCGATTTAAAATTTATTTTACTATACTAACTTGTATATGATCTAATAATCCAGTTGAATCCATTCTACTTGCAACATTGACAGCATTGCCCCAAATATCATATTGAGGTTTACGTGCACCTATAACACCTGCCACTACAGGTCCAATATTGATTCCTATTGAATAAGTATAAAAGTTTTTCAATTTTTTTTTATAAATAAATTAAAACGTAGCCTATAATGAAAGTTATGTTTGTGTATAATTTGATTTACAAAGGTTGGTTAAAAAATATTAGAATTTTAAGTCGGCAAATTAATTATGTAATTTTTAATAGCAATTTCATATGAATAAAAATGAATTTTCATTGGCTTATAAACTTACCAATTCTCATACGAAAATTATTAAAAGAATGGGTATTAACTTCTTCAATTTTATCAAATAATTGTAAAGCATATTCGGCCATTGATGTAACATGTCGAAATTCAGTCATATCACAGGTTTGAGCAGTTAATCCAGAAGCAGCCATATATGTTGCACCAGTACTTTTGATTTTTTCAATATAACTTTATTCATATAGAAAATAGATTTTGCAATTAATATTCAAAATTTCGATTATTTTATAACTATGTAGGGGGAGAACGAGAAAAATTCTAAAAATAAATGCAAAATTGAATAAAGAAAATTTTTTTGAATTTATGGGGGTATTGAGGTGGAAATAAAAAAAATAATATTTTTCTTCTACAATTTCTTTTTTTTTCTTCATTTTTTTTTTTCAAAATATTTTTCCATTAAATTAAAGGAAATTGTTTTTGTATAAATGTATAGGTGTTTGTAGTAGAGAAAAAATAATTGTTAATTTTTCTTGAACGTTTTTGATTTTTCCCTTTTAAAAATTTTTGCCTTTATAACTGTAAAAACTTTATTTTTCTTTTTTTTTTATTTAATTTTTTAGTTTTGTTCTTTCTGTGGAGTTTTTTTTTATAATTTTTTTAAAGAAAAACTTTTTTAATTACATTAAGTTGGATTAATATGTAAAATGGAAAATACCTTTAAGCTGTATTGGAAAAATGAAAATTTAAAAAACAAAAAAGCAAAAAATAACAGTAAAATATGTTTGAAAAGTTATTTTCCAATTTGTAGAGAAAATAACAAGATGGTTGTTTTTTATTTTAAATTGCTTTAAATGATTTTAGAATTTTATTTGATTATATTTACAGATGGTCTTCAAAGTTATTTATTCTTATAGATGCGTCCTTTTGAATTTAGGGCGAGAAAAATTAGAATTCTAGGAATTTTCAACAAGTTGAAAAAAAATTATTTTCTTTTAATTAAAGTTAATTTTATTGGAAAAATAACTAAGAAATATTTTGTTGTGAATTAATTTATTGTTAGACGATTTTTTTTTTTAAATAAAATGAATAAATAAATTTGATTTTATTGGACTTGTTCTACAGTTTTCAAGAATTTCTTTAGAATTTCTGTTAGTTTTTTGGTAAATTTTCTTTATAAAATGGAACAATTTAAAATATTATCAAAAATTGTGTATAATAATTGCAAATGTAGGTGTAATTTATATATCATTCTTGGTATTCCAATGAAAATTTTATGTAGTGTACCTGATCTTGTATAAATTAAGTAGAATTGTTCGAAATATTAACCCAAGTTTCGCTAATTTTTACATGATCAGATTGATTTTGAAAATTTTTACAATTTTCACTAAATTTTTAATATTAAGGGCTTAACTTATAATTTTGGTGAGATACAATAATAAAAAAAAACAAATAATATATGCAAGAATATTAAATTTAAGGGCTGATTCCGAATACTCTGAATTAGACAAGTGATTCTGCCACTAGTCTGTATGATTTTCATTTCGTATATATTTTTTTTCCACTTGAAACACATAGTATTCAAAATATTATATTTCACTGGAAATTTAGTGAATTAATTATACAGTACACACATACAGTATGAATAAAAAAAATGCAATGCCAAAATTTTATTTTCACAGGTAAGAAACTTCTATGTGCGTTAGTAATTGAGTGGATTATCTTTCGTACTGATTTCTATGATTTTAGGAAGAAAAGATTTAAAAGTGAACAGTTTTGAATTTTAAAAAATTCCACGATTTTTGACCGTACCCCTATACTTCATAGAAAAAAAAGAAAATTTCCAGATTTTTGACCGTGCCCGTACCCTGTTAGAAAAACTAAAATTTTCACGATGTTTGACCATAACCTTAATTTATCAAAAAAACCAAAATTTTCTCAATTTTTGATCGAAATTTTGGAGAATTTTGACCGTATAATTGGTGGAAAAAACACTGAAATTTTCACGAATTTTGACCGTACCCCTATACTTTGCCGAAAAATTGTAAATTTTCACGATTTTTTACCGTAGCTCTTCTTTATTTTTCAAAAACACCGAAATTTTGACGAATTTTAACCATGTCCCTACCTTGTGGAAATATTGCGAATTTTCAGGAGTTTTTACCGTAGCTCTTTTCTACTCTATTTTGTACCACATTTACCGAAAGACCTTGTAAAAACCATAGTAAATTTGCAGTGATAATATAAAGAACAATAAACAATTTTTAAATTTTAAACTAATTGAGAAGTTAAGCCCACCACATTTATAAGAATAGAATAGTTTTAATTTGCATTTATTTTAAAATATATTGCTCGTTTAAAATAAACTTACCGAAAACGTTCTTCATTCAATAATTCATCAAAATCAGCAATTATTTCATTTAATAATCTTAAGCATTCTACACCTTCGTTGTTCCCTTCAAGTTCAACATAAAATTCTGAGAAATTTGGTATTGAAGCAAACATTATGCAAACACTATCACATTGTTCATGATATAAATCCTTTTTTTTTTTATTTTTCAAATATTCAATTGTAAAATAAAATTGAAAGAGGTGTTTGTTTATAAAAAATCCGCCACAAGAAATAAAACCCGAAGTAAAAATATGAAAAGAAAGAAAAAATTAATCGGATATTTTTGCAAAAGTTTTTTATTACAAAAATTTATTAGCCGTAAGCGCAAATATTTATGTTGAATATAAAACCATTTTATTAATTTAAATCACCTAAAACCATAAATCGCTGAAGAATAAAGTGTTTTTAAAAAAAAAAATTAATCAATTTTCAAAAGTCATTACTTTGTTTGATGTTAAATTAATTATATAAATTCTTTTAACTAGCTATGTGGGCTTCCATTTTCATTTTTGAAATTAAAATTTTTTATTATTTACTCAAATTGAGTTTGTAATGGAGAATGAAGGGTTCATCAGTGTTATTTATGCGGTTTATAACATTAAATTAAATATATAATATAGAAATTATTCACCATATTGGATATTGGATTTTGCACGACAACGTCTACATTATATGACGTCGTCGTGCAATAGATAGCGTTAAGAAATTCCATTCTGTACATGAAAATTTAATTTTTTTTTCTACCGAAAACAAATTAAGGAAGTACAGTATTCGATATCTCTTGAACGTTTACACGGTGCCATTGATTTGAAAAAAGACTTACTATAGCACACTAATAGTTAACATAAAACAAAAAGAGGGATATTCATTTATATAGATCAAATAAGTGACACAAAGAAGAATAATATTACACTAAAAGGATCTCAAAATTTTACACTTTACACACTTTATTTATTCGAGTGGAAATCAGGTGGAAATCAATTAAAAACTTTTATATTACTTTTTATACAATTACTTGTAGTGCTAAATTGAAATATGAAAGAAATAAAAATAATTATATGCTTATACATATACATATACTTACATCAATATTTTTATCTCGACTCAAAAAATGTTCTGCAACATGAACCGGAAGGATGTTTTCCAATAATTTCCGGTTATATGCTTGTAAGTGTTCCATATCTTCTTTTTCCTCTATTGAATTCAAAAAGAAATGAAAAGTAAATTATCTCAATTTATTTAATGAGAAAGTAAAAGAGAACAAATACTAACACAAAATAAAAAGTGAGAAAATGCTGACTCAGTTAACTAATTTTTTGTTTGAGTATTCTTGGACTGGAGAAAAGGAGGGAAATTTGAATAATATTGGGAGAGAGAGAATATATATAATATGTCTTATATAATATGTGTAACTATATGAAACAAAGAATTAGGACTAGGAAGTATTGGACTAAGTATTAGGGCTAAGAAATTAATTAAATAATTTAACATTAATTATGAAAAAATCGTTCAATATACAAAAATTATTTTATATTTACTCACCTGTTGCTTGCAATTTCCATATAAAATCTAATCGGTAGGTTGCTTCTGTTTGATGACTATGAAATATTAGGGCTATTGTAAATATTACTATAAATATTAAATCAACTGTGAATCTAAGAAGAACTTCTGATGTATCATATCTGCTATTTTATTAAATTTAGAAAAAAAAATTGTTTTTATTTCATTATATAATAAAAATTAATATAAGAAAATATAATTTAAATAACAAAATATTGCAAAATTTTCGGCCCAATATAAGTATCAGGATTATTGAATTGTCTTTATTGTGAGTAAAAAAGAATTCAGTGCACCGCAACCAGCTTAAAAAATATAATGTGTCCTCTAAACTGCATATGGGACAATGCTCTACAACACCCCCCCCCCCCCCTACGGATAAGAGTCCAACGGATAAGAGTCCCACATTATCCCCCAGAAGGGGTACCAAGGCCTCACTGCAAAATCCACAAACACCTTAACTTTTTAGGCCCAGCCTCCTAAAGTGACAATTAAGTGATACAGGGGAGAATTCTCACATATGATGTGTTTCAAGCTCATTTCATATGATTTTCCTAAAGCGGACCTGATCGTGACCTCCTAAAAGCTCCCTGAACTGTAAAAGCTGGAAGGCCCCTCTAGCACATATAGACAGTAAAGTATATATATCTACAAACTTATGCAATAAAGTACATAAATAAGCAATATTAGATTGCGTTATTCGCATATGATTTCATTTATTTTAAAAGCATTCACTATACAGTAAAGTAAATTTACAGGCTCTTTACTGGCTTGTAAATGAATTGTGGAAAATAATACTTGTTCATTTATTGTTTTCTTTTCAAATTCTGTGAATCAAGTATCAAAATTAAAATTGCGCAGTAACTAGTGTCTGATTCAGTTATATTAAAGTTGTATAGCATATTTTTAGGGGTAAATCAATAATATTCTACAATATGAAAAATAAGAAAATTTTAATTTAAAAATTTTTTTCTATGTACCTATATGACATTTTAATAATAAATTAGAATTATAAAACACAGCCGATACGCTTTGTTGAATTAAGAAAATTGGGGTTAAATTTTAGCAAGATGAAAAAAAAAAATAATATAATGTTCATGTACTTTATTTTGTGTAATCCCCTAAATGGCACTTAATAAAAAATAAAATGACAACCATTAAAAACTTTTTTCAATTTAAAAAAAAGAACAAACCCCTTGTAAACTTCAAAAATTATTTTTTTAATGTCGTCGTTTTAGAAAAACCCTACGTATGAAATAATTTTAAATTATCCTTTTCTTAAAGCGATTTTTGTGAAATATGTTAAATATGTAGAGTAAGTATAAGAATAAGATTATATATAGATTTTTAAAATTGTTCTGAAAGTCTAGACGAAAATTACTTTTTTTTTTTTTTTAACTGAAATATTTAATTTATTTTCTCATAAAATAATTTTAATAAAACATTAAAATGTTCACCTATATTATGTACGTATGAAAAAAATTGGTTACAGTCTATAAACAATTTTTTTTCTTGTTTTCTTTTTTTTTTGGTTTCCCAACTAAAGGATTCAAAATTTAAAATAAAGTTCGGTAAAATCAATGGTTTGTAAAGTAGCACTTTTCCCTTTAAAAAGTGATAATACTGCTCTTAATGACTTTCATTCGTATACTAATGTATTTTAAAGATTGCATACATTTAGGATAAGGCGAAAAAAAAATTGAAAGAAGCGCTAGCATAATGCTCAAATTTAAGGGTTAAATATTTTTTAATGGAATGGCGTCTACTGTTAGCTTTCTTCTTTTATAAAAAATTTTGGAGAAGTTTGGAGTTTTGAAAGTATAAGGTGCTAAAAATGCAAATTTTATAAATTTCTAGAAGTGATAACTTTAGAAGGGCGTTTATGAGGAAAAAAATTTATTTCTAACGAAATAATATAATCATATATATCTAACAGTTACCAAAATTTGAGAACAATACAATCTGAAGTCTAGAAGAAAAACGATTTAGAAATTTGTAAAAATCGGATTTTGGGTAACGGTAAATTTTAACAGCCATTTTGTTTTAGAAATTTTCAAGTATGGTATGGTAAGGTATTCGGTAGAAGAAGCCTGTCACTACTTTTCTGCCTTTGCAGAATTTAAAAAATGTTTCTGGTATTGCTACAGTAATTACTTAAAAAATGGCATTCTTAGGATTTTGAGGAGCTATAATATTTAGAGGGGGAGATTGGTAAAAATTTACTTCTACGGAAATATCTATATTCCACGGACAGAGTGGAACTAACAAGCATTTTTTTTTCAAAATTTTTTGGTCTGTGTAAAAGTGTTTAAAACAAAACCCACAAAAAAAAAATTAAAAATTAAAAGATTTAAAAGAGCAAAATAAAAGCACAACTGCAACCAACCACAATTTATATCAATTACCTTAAACTAAGTTGTTCCTCTCTCGTTGTATAGAAATATAATGAGAACGCAAAATAAAATGTTCCAGTAAATAAAAGTAATAATAATTTAAGGATAATTCTTAAAACTTGATAAATGGCACAAGTCATCATTGATAGTAATGATACCAATAGAAAAGTCTACAAAGAAAATTCGGAAAAAGATATAAAAAATTTTTACATGACACGTTTTGTATAACAATTCTTATCAAAACTTACATTATTAAGAATAAAATAATCACATTGAATACTATCCTGATATGATATTGTTGTAACATCTACTGTACTAATATTACTGTCTGTTGTAGTTTTCATAGTTGAAATTATAGGTGAATTTGTTGTTAACATACTGGCTGTTGATGATAATGATGTCGTAGCATTTATTGTATTTGTAGCTATTATTGTATTTTGTGTTAAATTTTTAAATGATGATGGTGAACAGTCTTGGAAATTTATTAAAGCCTGTATAAAATATTTTTTTTGGTTTTTGTATAAAAAATCTTCTTTTAAATAAATTTATTAATTAAGAAAAGATAAAAATAGAAAATAATTCCTATATATAGGATATTTATATATGCATACATACACATATACATATAAAATGAAATATATGGAAAAAGAGGGAAGAAAGAAAAACTGAAAATAATAATAAAGTTTTTTCATCTGGAAACTTTATTAATTATTATAGTATTGTTATAGTCGAATTACAGAGAATAAAATTAACCTAAGGGATACCCGTATAAAAATAAAATGCGCTATAGAAAAAAAATCCCACGGCATACTTATGGTTCTAATGTTGGTGTAGCTACTAGTAGTTCAAAGTATTTTAGCGAGAAATGTTATACAAAAAATTTAAATAATTTCTATTTAATTTTAATTCAATTAAGAGCTCTTTAATGCACTTATAATATTTTACAGAGAAGGATTACAGCTCATATATAATTCATGCAAAATATCAAATCATTGGGGTTATTAAAACCCTAGTAACTGACCAATATATACACTTTAATATACAAAATATCGATGAAGATATTTTTTGACCTTAAATATAACAATAATATTTCTATTGTATTTTCGTTTTCTGTATTTGGATGTTGAACTGTGTGGACAAATTTCATTACAAATACTTTTACATACATACATAGCATTATTTTTAACATAAAAATAACGGAAAAGAAAAAAATATATAATTTTTATTTGAGTATACACCAACTGTTGAATGTTACCTTGGTACAAACAGAAAAAAAAAGGACTATAATTTGTCCCAAATAAAATAGGAAATGAGGAAATAAAAGGAAATGAAAAAACAAAAAACCAAAAATAAAAATGGAAAATAAAACTTTTTTACGAGTTGTAATAAATGAAATGTGGTTAGGGTTAGTTAACTCGAAAATAAAGGTAAATTAGAAGTCATGTGGTTAATTATTAAGTTATCTATAAACATTATATGTTATGATATATTCATCATATGGGGGATGTAGAAAAGAACCCAAAAAAACAAAAATACAATAAAATTAAAGAAAATAGGAATAATTTTTTTTGTAAGGTTAAAGTAAGGTTCAGTTAACAGCCTCACTGGAATATGATGCCGATTCGTTAATAAAAAATATTTTGGGATATCTGATTTGATTGCACATTAAGATTTTCTTTTTAATTTAATATCAAAGAAATTATTCATTAATAGTTTTTTTTTTCGTAACTTATACTTAAAGTGGAATTAAATTTATATTTAATCTACATGGCTAAAAGAAATTATTTGAAAGTATGAGTACATTTATCGCAATAATTTGTCTTGCTGATATTTTCATTCTATCGCAAAAAATTTTGTATCTAAATTTATTATAGACAAAATGTAGGTATGGTAGGTGCTCCCTCTTATGTACGTATAACAGTGACTCTAATAGAGATTTCCATGTCCCTAGGGTAAGTGATGAAATAAGGAATAGTGAAACATGAGGCACGTTTCGAGCAGCATATACATTTTATACGACCACTCGCCTAACAGAAGATAGGATTCGAACAGATATACTGAATCTAAAAAGATATATTGATTTGGCACAAAGTACTGCGACACAATGTCTGTGCTGCAATAGAGTAAAACTAATAGTTAACCAAATTGATAAGTTTTATGAAATAATGGCCCATTAAGTGCATTTAAGCTTGGGTTAAAACATCCGACTATTTATAGGTCTAAAAACAATTAAAGTCCACCTTTTTTATTGTCTCGATTATTTTGACTTTTAACACCTGTATTGCAAAAAAACGTACGTATTTAAGACATATGTACGTATTTATGTGTGAACTTAATCTGAGTTTTGTACTTAAATAATAATACAATATTATACGCACTGCTAAATTTCGGAAAAATTTGGAATACCTATAGAATAAAATTTAGGTGTATGAATTTTTTATATTAAAATTAAATAATGGGCACTGAACTGCACCTACAAGAATTTTATACATTTTTTATACCGCAATCAATGTACTGCAATAGAAATTTTGCCGTGTTTATGTTATATAAATTTATTACGGGTAAATATGCATAGTTGTATGTACAATACCATTAAGAATATGTATGTGTATGTATTCTTTATTCTAACATTATATTTGACGTAAAAAACAATATTTTTTATACTTACTATAGATAAAGAAGATGCAAAATTTATTATAACTACAACAAAAAAACCTAAAATTTGTGAAGTTGTACGATTTCTATGAATTTTTTCTGAAAATTTTTTAGCACCAAGCGGAAGCTGCATTTTCATATTTTTTTAAAAGACAAAAAAAGAAAATTAAACAATAAAAAATAATTTTTAATTTATTTTCATTTGTGTTAATAATTTTGTATGTGGAAATGAAAATTTTTGTTCTTACCTTAAGGTTAATTTCATAAGAGGCAACAAGAAATACAATAATTAAAAGAAGAATTAAACAAACACTAGCCGTTACGTAATTCAAAGAATTTCTGAAAAGTGAAAAAACATAAGAATAATTTTCTTTTTTGAAGATTTTAAGTAATTAAAATTTTTTTGTTTTCGCATATTCTCCATATTTTTACAATACCTTTTAAAAACTATTAGGCGCATTACAATTATTCCTCCTAATATTACAAAACTACAATAAAAATATAAGGTTAGCATTCTATCTGGTTCCGCAGAATACTGAAATTGAAAAAAGTGTAAAAAGAAAAAATTTATTAATTAGAACCAATGATAATTTGATAATTAAAAAAATTTTTTCTTTCTTTTTCGTTTTCAAATAATTATTTAAATAAAGTTGGGTGAAGCCAATGGTTTGCAAAATAGCGCTTTTCTCTTCAAAAAGAGTAAATGGTGTTTTTAAAAACAATCTACTACATTATTTAAATTACATTCATTCTTGACCAAATATTTTAAAGGTTGCATACATTTAGGATGAAAAAAAAAACTGAGAGAGGCGTAAACAGAACTCTCAAATTTAAGAGTTACTTGCGTTAGTTGGAAAAAATAATTATTTTTTTTGATGGAATCGCATTTGACGGTAGCTTTCTTCATTTATAGAAATTTGGAAAGAGCTTGCAGTTTTGGAAATATATTCTGAGGTAAATTCAAATTTTAGAAATTTGAAGACTGAATAACTTGAGAGGAGTTGGAGGTGGAATAAAATTTTCTTCTAACGAAATGAGCTATTTATTAGTGTCTAAAGCTAAAATTTCAGACAGCTACAACCTGCGATATTAAAAATTTGAAAAAACGAATTTTATATAACGGTAACTTTTAAAGGCGATTCAATATTTGTAAATTCCAAATATGGTATGATGCGGTAAAAGATGCCAGCCACTACTTTCTTACGTTTGAAGTGTTTCAAAGTGTTTTGAATTTTTGTTACAACAGCTGGGCGGAGATTTTCTTCCACGAAAATAAATTTCTGGTAAATTACTATTTAAAACTAAAATAGATTTATTTATGTGTAAAATTTCAGCGGTCTATCTTGAAGCATGTAGAAGTAAACGGGTTCACGGGCGGACAGACAGACAGAGTGAAATTAATAAGCACTTTTTTTCAATATTTTTATGAAAAGAAAAATTTGGAATTTTATGAGTTGGCATGACAATAGTTTTAATTAATAATAGTGAAAAATGAATTTTTAGAAGACTTGAGGTAATTTAAGTGGTCTCATTTTGTATAACATTATAAATTGAAAGTGAAATTAAGAAATGATTTTAAAATTATATTTTTAGATTTATTTTTAAGTAAAATTTTACCTTGAATTAGTAGGTTGCTATGTAAATCTTTTTTTATGATGTTGGTGTAAGTTGATAAGCACATTCAAGTACTCAAATTTAGGGAACTTGGGGAAAATTTTCAAGATCTTTGGTTAGGATATTCTAAAACAAAAATTTTGAGTACTTGATCTCCAAATAATTTAATTTTTGTTTTTTTTTTATTACAATAAAAAAATTTAGTTGAACAATAATTAGAACAATTTGCGTCTACCACAATACTTTTCGTGAAAATTAGTGAACAGGCTTTGCGGCATATTAATATTAGTTTTGGGATTCCTTTAGTAGTAAATAGGGAGATCGTATTTTTGCTGAAGAAAAAATTTGGGCAACCGTATTCAAAACAAATACTTGGAAGTAGAATCTTAATTTCAAAAACCAACGTAAGCTTAACTTCTTTGCAGCTTAATTACTGTTATGATAGCGTTTTTCTCAGTTTTGTTCAATTTTTAAAGGTCGCAGAAATGTTTATGTAAATAATTTAATAACGCGTGTCATTATTCTTATATAAAACATACGTGAAAAAAAAAAAATGTTATAGAAAAAGTTTAAATGAAAAATTCATTTTTAAGATTTCTTTAAACTTTTTTCCATTTTAAAACTTTATCATTTTTCAAACTCTTATTTCTTTACTGCAATTTTTTTTTTCCAGTTATTTTCATTTTAATCTACTTACTTTTTTCTCTAAATTGACATCCTTAAAGGATAATAAAACCGATTTACAATGTTCTGAACGTAAATGATCAATGCTACGTGCATCAATGGCTCTCATTAAATAATCATTAACTTCATCTTCTGGATCTTTGGTGATTTCTGTAGCATCCGTGAAACCCAATCTAAAATAAGATTGAAAATATTATAAAGCGGAAAAGAAAAGAGAGAAACATGAAAAATAATAACATTGAAAGTGAGTGTTAAAATAAAATGAAACAATTTATTTTCAATTAAAAAAAAAAATTTTCCACAATTAAAAATTAATAGAATTTCCTGTTTTTTTTTCTATTTTTTGTTATTAAATTCTAGTTGAAAATTGCATTATTAAAATCTATTTTTCTCTTTCTTACTTTGATGTGTTCTTTTGTGTACCATGTCCCATCATTCTAAGTTCTTTCGATATATTACCATTAATTGCTAAAGTTGGTTTACTCTTTTTATTCTTAATGCATTTCAAATGTAGAAGAGATCATTTGAAGGGCGTATCCATGTTTTGCAAAACAAAAAAAACGGTGTGTAGTAGAGAAAATTAAATTTCCGGTAATATTAACAGGAGCAATTTATTGGCATAATTCAAGGAATATAGAAAATTAAAGAAAATAAATTTAGATTGTTGCATAATAAAATTTCAATTAAAATTATTTTAAATTTTCATTTATATTAAAATTGTTTTAAAGGTTTAGTGGATTATAAGATTATAAAAATTACCGGTCTATATGTATCTCCAGGAACTATTAAATATGTTTCAATTTGATGATCTTTTAAATATGAATTTCTTTCCCAACCACGTCCCTCTTCAACTTCATAGTCACCATCTAAACATTTTAGTGTTTCTTTGGTTATATGAACTCGTCTATTAAAAGAAAGGATTTTTATTTGTTATTTTTATTAAAAATAGAATTGTAATTGGAGTTAGATAGAGTGTATTTAGATAGAGTTTCTCATATACAAATAAGATTAATAAATTAAGGATAGGTTTTCAAGAAAAAAATGAGTTAAATTAGTTTAGATTTCGAATAATATTGAAGAGAAATAACCCTTTTTTACTTTAACTTTGCTCTCGCAGACGCAGAGGGTATTCAGAAAGCTCCTACGTCATTTAAAAGAGAAATACAATTTTACATACATTTACAACTATTCGGCGTCTCTCGGGTTATTTATTTTTTTTTCAAAGTTTCAAATAGTTTTTACTATGCTGAAATTCCAAATTCAAGTAGTAGCTTTTTCTTGCGTGATATGAAGCAGGCGAATAGTACTGTGGTGAAATTCAAAAACTAAAATTATTGACATAATTTTATTTCAAATAGCTAGCCGTGAGAAGGGCGCGCAATTCAGAATATGAACTATACGACAAAATCCTAATAACGCACGGCAGATAAACAATTATTTTTTTATATTTTGAATACCGTAATCATTTTCGTTCGCCGATGATATACATATATTTGCATAATATATGTATGTTGATGCGATAAATCGAGATAAATTTTATTATATCTGAAAACCCAAAGTTTAAAATTCGTGAATAAATTGGAAAAATTTGTTTCCAATTGCAAAATTTTATTAAATTTAAAATGGGTTGATCTTCTGATATAAAAATTTTGTAAAACTTTCTTATTTTCGTAATTCGATTTTCTACAATATTGGTTTATGACCCTTTAAATTTTAATATTATTTTTCAGCCGATATACGGGGTGTCTCCCATCAAAGTGCACTACTATATAACCATTTTACAGGCCTTCATGAGTTGACAAAACTTTTGACCGGTTCAAAGTTACATGAGCTTAAAGTTGAGTTCTACTGATTTTTTTACTCTTTGAAATTTTAAGTATAACTACGTGCACGTGTAGAATAGGCGCGGTATTAAATATGATTTGGGAACCTCGGAATAAGGGCTTTCTTATAAATGTTTACATTAGTTATAATCTGCTCAGAATTTTTGGAAACATATGACTTTAAAGTTTTGAAAAATTTAAAATTTTAACTTTTCATTTTTAAAAAATGTTAATTTTCTAGGTGACACAACATTGGAGCTTTCTCCAATTTAAGCGCAGGTGAAAATTTTGTCTTCTAACCTTTAATTTGGTATATGAGTCATTATGCTACCTGATCTAGTTTAGATTTAGAAAAATAGAGTTCTGCAAGAGTTATTTTATACCAAATATTTTTCTTCAATGATTCAAAATGTAGTGTCTCTCTTATGTTATGTAGATGTTCAACTTAACAACTGAGTTTCTCTTACATTTGCAAAAATTAATGGCCCAGAGAACATCACATAGCATCTATATTTAATACAGCTCTGCAAGTCGGCTTCGATTTTAATAATCTTCCAATTATATTCTGTATATTGTAAATGTATAAATTATATGCAGTCTTATTTGCTTCTATTAATTGAGAATAACAATATTCAATACTTAAATAAGTTTATTTATTGTCTAGACCCTTAAAATTTTTTTTTAAATTTCATTCATAATAGAAGTTTGTTATCTGTTTTCATGTCTATATAAAAATTATGTATATAAACATGTGCTTTAATATGGAAAACCTTTTCTTAAACAAAAGAACTTGATGCGGTTCCCAAAAGATTACAAAATAACCAAATTTTTTGCAATAATTTTTGATATGATATCAACGTACACCTTAACTCCGATTTACTACCCATAGGATCAATCTTAAAATCGAGTATGTAAAATGGAAAGATTTAAAAAAATTTAAATTTTTTTAAAGAAAAAATTGGATGTAAATGAGGATTTCAAGGTTAGGGAAAATAAGGGCGAAATTCTTGATTGTTATTTTGGAAAATTTTTTTAAGCTTTATAAAATAAAACGTGTACTATAAAACACGCATAATTTTCGAAAAAAGAAGTCGAAAAATAAAATGTAAATTGAGTAAAGATTTTATTTGGATTTTACTAAGGAAACCCGGAGAGATTCAATTTCAAATCGAGGGAAGAGTGTACTTTTATTAAAATATTTTTCAGAGATTTAATATAGTTTCTTTGTGGTGTTATTAAAAAAGGGTAATGTATGAAATCACAAATATTATCGAAAAATGGTGCTCAAACACAATTTATTTTTAAAATAATTTTTTTTTACGGTCTAGTCTATACTATGAAAGAGAACCTTGCTTTGTAGTTTTTTATTATAAATTTTATAAAATTTTCAAAAATTATGATTTTCATTTAGTATGCTTTGATTTTTTGAGTCCGAAATTGTACATTTTTGTGGCTATTAAAATTCACACATTTTAATGAAAAATTTCTTATTTTCCAATTTAAAATTTCAAAATATTTAAAGCTTAAAGGATGCAATTGTTAAAATAGTATGAGAGCTTTAAAAATTTACTACTAAAATTAAAATTTTAGTAGTTCTGACTATTTTTTCAATTCAAAGTTGCTAATATTCCTAAAAAAATTAAATATATCAAGAACTTTATTCATAAAATCAAAAGTTCGTATTAAAATTCATTTAAATTTTAAGAAATGTTGCCTAAACCAATAAGGTATGTTGACTTTGAATATTTCCATGAGCAATATCCAAAGCCAAATATATTTAGTTCGTTTTTAATTAAAAAACCGTGACGACTATAAAAGAAAATAATAATGATGGCGGAGGGGAGTAAGGCAATTTAGTTTTGTTTCCTTTTGAAATTTTATCCTTCAAAATTTTTTTAAAAATAATCTTCAATGAAACACGAATGCTGATAATATAGATATTGTATGAAATTGAGCTAATCGAAATATTGATCACGTAATTTCATGGTACTTTATTGGTAATAAATTTGTGTGATTGTAAATAACATTACACGAGTCCTCTCTATATGCTGTGTTAGTTAAATAAACAATTTTTTTTGGAGAAAATAATAAGGATAATAAAAAATCATTGCAAAAATTATTGATTCACTTATTCTGAAGGAGATTATTTTTATATAACTTTAGCACTTTCAGGCTTAAATTTATGAGGTGCTAATAGTTATCCAAATAATTTAATCTATTTTCTTTTTAAATTTATTAGAGTGGGAATTGTAATTCATTGATGGAATAAAAAAATTTTTTTTATTGAATTATTGCATACTTTCAGGGGTAAATTTCAAACAATTCTAAAATATGTTCAAAACTTAAAAAAACAAACATTTTTTTTTTGAGGTTTAAGAAGCAGAGTTTCGAAAGTCTCAACTCTATGATTGAAATTGGTATAGAAATCAAGTTTAATGTTCAATAATAGTTTAAGTATTAAATAAATTTTTACTTACCCAGGTATACCACCACTTTCCATATGATTTGCTAATGTAACATCATTTGACCATACATCAAATTGCCATTTAACTAAACCTAAGACACCACAATGAACACGACCTGTATGTATTCCAACTCTCATATTAACATTAACAGCCATAACTTCCCGTACCAATCTATAAAATTTAATAATAGTATGAAAAATTCCGCAATAATTAAAAATTTTCAGTTTACAATTAATATCCTTACATAAATTCATATTGAATTTATACTTACGCTATTGCATCAATCATATCCAGACCCATTTCAACAGCACAATGTGCATGATCTGGTCTAGGATCAGGTAATCCTGAAACACAATAATAACAATCACCTAATAATTTTATTCGTAGACAATGATGTTCTGCAGCTAATCGATCGAATCTGAAATAAAATTAAATAAAATCTGAATTAAAAATGTAGTTGAAAAAACAAAAAAAAACGATTGTGGTTTGAAAAAAAATTTTATGTAAATTAAAAACACATTTTATTTAAAAGAAAAATAGAACAATCGGCAGTGTTGTTAAATGAAGAGTAAAAATAATAATTGTTAAACAATGAGGATTACAGTTGGTAGGTGAACAATTAATGGAAACAATAGTTTGAAAATAAATTCAGTTGGATAAAATTTTATTCAATGCTTAACATTAGTGAATACAACCGTTTAATAAATGATGAAATATGGGTACAATTATTTTGATTAAACAATTCTTGAATTCATCCATTGTGGTGCAGTTGGAAAACAAGTTTAAATCGTAAAAGCATTTGTCACAAGGAAATTCTAATAAGATTAAGATCCAATTCAGCCAATAAATCCAATGATGTGAAATACAAAATTTGAATTATAGAGCTGCATCCATGAATATGAGTTTTAGTTACCGAATTGTCGTGTATTGAATCAAACCGGTTATAACTAACTACTATGAGTTAATGACGTATATCTCTTTTAACATTCAGAAATGTTCCTACCTTCCAAATAATTTTTACACTTTATTAACATTTCCCAATATAATTTTTACAAAATATCGCGAATTTCAAATTAAAAATTCCAATTTTGGTATTGCAAATGTTTAAATCTTGTCGTATTGAGTTGCCATTATCAAAATAAAATAAAAATAGTTTTTCATAATAATAAAAATAAGGTGAAAAACAAGCTACAATTTATTGGTAAAAATTTGTAAGTATGTAAGAACGATTGTGAGATTGAGAGCGCAAAATTACACGTTCTCATTTCTAAAATGAAAAAATACAAAAACAAAGTCAAAAAAGAAAATAAATCGAAAATTGAAAAAAAAGAAAAACAAAACAGAAAACCAATTTAAATCCTAATCTTGTAATAGGATTTTGCAGATGAGAAATGTTTTGCTAATAAAAATACAAGCAAAATAATCAAAAAAAAAAAACAAACAAAAATGAAAATTCAACGTTTTATTTGAAACGCTCCATCAGACATCACGGTCTTTCTCTTTCTTGTATTTTTTATTTGTTCCAATTTTTTGTTATACAGGTGATTTGCTTTCTACATGGTGGTATTAAAAACACATTTTCGCAAGGGTTTTTTACTTGTTTTTTGTTTTTGTTCTTTTTCAAAACTTTTACAATAATTTTATCTGGTTTAAAGATTTTACAAACAATTTTAAATTTCCTATTTAATTTTCAATTTTCCAGGAAAAAAAAAATTTTTTTTTTTGTGACAAATTGACATCTCATTGCTTTTTCTTTTAGCTTTTTTTAAATTTTAAAATAAAGAATACAACAGAGAAAGCGCTAGATTTTGTGAAGATTTAATCATAATTCAATGATTCAATGATCAAGAGTAGGAGAACAAAAATTTAGTTGATGAAACTCATTTTTTGTAAAATTCTATATTGTGGCTGTTTAACAATTTAAGTTTAGAACTCATAAAATCAATACTGGAATTATTAAATACTAAATAAGGAAACGATTTGCTGTAATACATAATATTTTCAAATAATGTAATTAGATTAATTTTCAAACAAATTTTTCCTGTGGTATTGCAGTGGAGCTTATAATGTTTAAGATGTCCCGAATTGAAAAATAATTTGCAAAATGTGAGGTACAATTTTGTAGAGACACATGTAACCTGTTGTTGTTTAAATCCGTAATTCATCTGTTGTAATCGTTGTAAAAGTTTGAGACCTATTCGAGTGGCAGGAAAATATTTTTTTCAGATAATTCAGGTACAGGTAATTTCCTTTTACGAATTTGAGATAGAGTATTGATATTCTCTTAATAATTCTATTAAATCAATTGTGATAACCTTTGAATGATGAGCCTTTTTCGGGATCTAGAACTTGCTCGAAGGAATAAGGAAGTCAAAGATAAATGTACTATGTAGCAAAGAGCCATTAATAAGAAATATTGTTATAGATACTGTTAATATGATAGCATTTGCCGAGTTCCCTTTTTAAATGAGTATTTCACAAACAGGGGGGAAAATATACTATAATACAAGCATACCAAATGCTGCTGTGGCAAATGTTTCATTATCAATAGAAAAAATTTACAAATTTATTTTTGAATTAGTTTATTCGCGATTTACATAATAAGAGGAGACATGAAGGGTAATATTTTTAAAAACAAATCATAAAAAAACATGGTGTCGTTGCCAATATCATTGCAATCACATTGCAAATTTAATCAAAATTATTTTACATTTTTATTACCCCATGTATCTATATTTTATCTTGTTTTACAGATATTATTAGAACACCAGCCCCGGATATAAAATTTTCTTATTTATTTATTTATTTATTTATTTATTTATTTTGTGCAATTCTATACGTTTTTCATAATGCTATACCATTCAATTCTACAAACCTAAAGAATACTACCAATATGGATTATACGTAGGTATGTACATAATATGTGTGTGTTTAAATATATACTTGATATCTCATCAATACTCAGTAAGTATTGACGTAAATATTATTATTTAGAATTTACGATTTTATTTTATTCTATTAAATTACGGTAACAAAACAAAATACGAAATATAAAAATAAAAAAATTTAATATAAAAATAATAAAAAATCGTTAAAAAAAAACTTTTTTATAAGAAAAACTTACCTGGCAAATAGTTCATTTAGAAGTCTTACAAGTTCTTCAGCTGTGCATTGGTCCGCAAGACTTGTGAAACCACAGATATCAGCAAAAAGTATACTGTAACATAGAATTTTAAAATAGAAAAAGAAATTATTAGAAAGCAGAATAGAAAAATGGTGTTGATCAATAGGAAATAAAAAAAAATTTTATTGTGAAGAAGGTGGAAATGAAAAAAAAAAATTTCGTTCTCATCTTGTCATTATTGAAAAAGTTAAATATAAATTATTCAAATTTAATTATAATATCTATTATATTGTATATTAGTTTTGAAATCAATCATAGATAAGAATTTGTCATTATTTTATTGATTATTTCAAATAGAACTTTTGTATGTTCTAAGAAATGCGTAAGAATTTGTGACGTTTTAATAATTGTATTTTTATCATCTTCCAACCTCTTGATTTAAGCAGCACAAACAGCTAAGTAAAGAATATTTATTAAACGTTTAAAATAAGGTTGGAGTATGAGAATATTAATGCAATAAATATGCTTTCAGGTCTATTATTTTTCTACATAATAATATTGCTGTTGTTCAGATTAGGTTCAAACAGTTCAAATAAGAAGAAGAGTTTGGATTGTTGAAGATTTCATACCAGACATTTTTTTTTGAATAGTAGTGTAGAGAAAATGTATGTGAAACTGAAGCAAAAGAGCCCGTATTCAATAATTTGGTATAAATTAGAACGAAAGTCTTGCAGAGCTTATGGCTCTAGTTATTCTTATAAAAACAATCCGGAATTTTGTTTTCATTCTTTATTTAAGTTTTAAGAGTTGAAATAATTTTAGATAAAAAAAACATTTACTTTTGAATTAAATAGAAGCAAAATCTACGGTAAAATATCATCAATTCTACGGTATAATATTTAAACTTTTTTTGTAAAGTCATATTTACGCCCTAATATATGCAATTTTCATAAACTTAATTTTCTGTATAAAATCGAAATAAGTTGAAAATACCAAATTATATTTGGACAACATATCTTTTGTTCTTTGAACCTTTATTAATTTTCTAAGAATTTTTAAAAATATTCGCAAAAAATTTACAAAAAAACTATAATCATTTTTACATCATAGCAGTGCAGACAGCTGAGGTTACAAATTTATATAGCTAGTTTGAAAAATTTATGTTACTTATCTTGAAAAATAAATTGTGCTACATTCAGAGAAAATTTGATTTAAAAAGTTTTCATTTGTTGAATGTGCCTGAAAACTTTTTCATACACAAATTATTATTTAACATAAAAATTTTATATAGAATAGAAAAATTTTTCTTTAAATTTCTTCTTCACTATTAATAAAAATAATAAATATAGAATTCTATAGAATTTTTTTTTTATTTTCTACTGATTTCAATGTAGTTATGATTACAAAATTTAAATAATTTATCGACTTTGAAATTCATGTTATCAGGAAAAGTTTTTCATAAATTTTTAAATCAGATTTGATATTATAGAATTTTCTATAAATGGACCGAACTCTAAGAAAATTTTTCTATAAATTCAAGGAAATTAATTTTAATTTTTGTGTTTACTTGTTGGAATAATAAAGTTGTGCTGAGTGGTGATAGAAATATAAAAAAAATTTCTTCGTTTTACATTATTTAATTTTAAACTAGTTTTTTTTTCTTTCTTGTAATTTAGTTACGATAGTGTAGAAAATTGTTGCATTTAAATTCAAGAATTGCCCTTATTTGAACACAAATGTAAGATTTATTTTCATTCTTCACTCCTAGGAGAAGCAAAGGGGTAGTGCATGATATCATAGATAGTCGTGCCCCAATTTCATTGAGTCATTAGAGTTTTAACTAAGTAGGTGACTTCCGTAGTCTGTCATAGTTTGTCGTAGTTTTATTTTATTATGATAAGATAGAAAAGTCATTTAATATAAAAATTAGTGGTTACTGTTATATGAATAAATTTATGAATTCTATAATAATCGACAATTTAAAAATTTGGGCGTAACAAAAGCATTCCAACCAAATTATAAAAATTGAAAGAGAAAATTCTATTCTTTACGGTAAAAGTAGCGAATTGTTATAATTAATGCCAATAAAGTAAGCTTTTGTGTCTGCAAATATTCATACTATTTTGATTCATACTTCGAACAAATAGTATTGGGAATTCAGACAACATTACAGGGATTTATTATAAGATTAACTGTACTAACAAAAACTTATATGCTTTCCGCAGTAGCACGGATGGAAAATTGCAAAAGAAATAAAGCTTAACATTTTATTTGACATCAATAAAAATTTGTTGTTTGCGATCAACTATAACATTTGTGTGACGTTAAAATTATAATTTTATACCAAAATTTATTACACACCTCTTATGAGAAAATGAATTATGAAAAACTATTTCAGGTTTTGTTCCATTCATAGCAGTTTTCTCTTATAGAGAGAAAATTCTTGCAATTATTATTAGTTAGCTTTTACTATTTACCAATATTGCAGTATTACAGTAATTTCTTATAGTAGAGATAATTGTATTATTATTGTATTACAAAATTAATGTTAAATGATCTACAAATTAATTAATTCTAAGGAATTTTAGAAATGAAATAAGATATTTGAATCGGGCCAATAATAATTTTTAAAATATTAGAAATACATAAATTATTATACCCTTACGAACGTATGTTCAACAACTACAAAATTTATTTAGCATTATCTCAAAAGTTATTGAAACTATAATATGAAATCTCGTGAAAACAAGGATATTATTAGGGCTGTTGTAGTGTAATAAAAATCATTGAAATTTCTTAACTCGTTTCATATAGAAAATATTGAAAAGACAGTACTGAAATTTTGCATAAATTAATATGGTAATATGGAAATTTAAAGTCATAGTCTGTCCCAATCAGCTATGGGATAACAAATTCGTACTCTATTTTTTCTCGTTTTATTAATAGAGAAAAAATAGAGTACGAATAGAGAAATTATTTTAGAATCTGAAATGAAATTTCAGAATTATTCTAATAAAATATTTAAAATATTTCTTTCTTCAAACCTTAATATAATTTATAATCTTATTCATTTTATTTATATACAAAAATTACTTTTATTAAAACGAATTTCTTATTATGTATTTCCCTTTAAGTCAAAAGAGAAAAAATTAAAAAAAAAATTCGAAACTGAGTGTTTTTATAAAATATTCATTATCCTTTTTTTTTCTGTTTAAAATTTTTCCTTCTATTTAAATAACCTTGTAATTTGAACAGAATCTGCGTTTTAATAATGGGGGAGCAAAAAATTAAAAAAAGAAATTTTTAATTGTATAATTTTGATCTTCCCATATCTTACCTAACATTTTCATGTCGTTGTATATAAATTTTATGAAATTGTGCTTCTCTTGGTTGACCGGCTATATCATCTTTCATTTCCATTGCAACATGCCTCGGTAATACTGATAGAAGAAGACGTTCCTTTTTGTTTTTTTTTAATTTTAATTTTGATTTTGTTGTATAATATGAAGATATCGTAATTGTTGATAGCATAGTATATAAATGAATAAAAGAATATCCATAATCAGCATCATTTTCATTATTAATTCATTGAAAGAATCATTATTTTGTTCATATTATAAAATATAGAAGTTTGATGAAAAATGTAGTTGAATATTAATATGAAAAATCAAGGGAATATTATATAGAGAAAATAAAAGATAGAAAGTTATAAGTATAACAATCATATGTATATAATTTTGTATAATCACAAGATAATTAAGTATACAGGGTGAAATATATTTTACAGAGAGGTTATACGGTGAATTATAAGTTCAAGGTTTTGTTAAAATTTGGTTTGAGATTAATTGAAATTCAATGAGATGTTTTTTTTTGTGTTTTACTACGATTTTCATCAAAAATATTCGAAATTTTTTAGTATTTTTACTTTATTCATTTACTTTATTACTAAGTACTTTGTACCATACAACTGAACTCAGTTTTAATATCTTCTGCTACGATATGAGACACTCTTAAGGAATTTTATATAAGTTAGAAAAATACGATAGGGTAACATTGTGTTGAGCATCACTACATGAAAGCGTAGAAGCAAATTAAATGATAAACATGTTGGTGAGGAAGGAAGCAACTTCGTTCTTAATCAGTGCGGGCTCTTTCTACACAACCATTAAAAATGGAGATCGCGCAGTTGAAGCAGTGCAGTGTTTGGGAATTCATGTCCAACTTCCTGAGAGCTTTCCGGATATTTGAAACCGGGGTGCTATAAGCTGAATATGGGAAGACTATAATAAGTTATGTTTGGCTGCGGTGGTTGGAGGGGAGGAGTTCCTTTGCCCATATCTCTCTTCAATAATTTATAAATTCACAATTTACAAGTGAAAATATTCACGGGTATCTTGTGAAGCGGTGTGAAAACGTTGTATATCTTCTGAGAGATAAGGGATTGCAACAGTGATTCGATTTGCTGAACCCTTAAAACTGTTCGAATTAATCAGAAGGGGCGCCCCAAAATTATATTGTTGGACGTGCCTAGCACTCTGGCGGGCTAGCACAATAAATATGTGTGGCTTGCGGTGTAATGCTGTTCTAATGCACAATTTAGAAGTAATTTTCTACTAATTTGTGTTAGAATACGAACCACGTCCATGAAATTATATTAAATAAAAATTGCTTTATAACTTGCTCTAATGGCCAAATTTCTTGATTCTCTTTTCGTTGAGTTTCTAATGTAAAGTTTAATTTCGTATATAACCAGAGCAAAGTAAAAAAAACCTTATAACTACAAAAGTAATTGATATTGTATGTTTTTTTCCTTAGATAATCAAAAATATCAGTTCTGCCTACTATAATTCGCTCATTAATTTTAATTCAACCTGTATACTGTAATTATGTAATTTTACAATGTTGAAATGTTGAAATTCTTAATGAATAAATGTGAGAATTTTATTTTCTCCTTTTTATAATTATTGTTTCTCTTTTGTTTTATATCATAATATTTATTTTTGGTTTCATTTTTTTATATAAATAGAAAATTACTTGCTGTTGATTTTCCCTTTGTGTTTTCAATCTAGCTTCAATACATTGTCTTGTTTCTATGAAAGCTTTCCGTTGCGCTTTTTCTCTTGGCCAATGTGTAAATATACCAGCAAAATTTGTACAAAATAATGCAAAAATTGAGCTAGCAATCTATAGCACAGAAAAGATAGAAGATATAATTTATAAAGAAAAATTTTAATGATTAAAAGGGAAATTTATTCGGTTTCTTATAATGGATGCTTTGTACATACATAAATATTTATAATGAATAATGTAATATTAATGTAATTTGTATTGGTGAATGTTAATGTTTATATTATAGCTATGTTCTGGTATATATGCAAAAATTAAATTAATCAGTAATAAAATATGTTGTCGATTAATTAATTATTTTTTTTTGTTTTTATATTTAAAAAGTAATATAAAACTTACCTGTTCCCATCTTAATATTTTTGTGCTATATATTGAAACATATATATGGGCTAATGATAATAGAACACCACCAATCATTGCTTCTCTTAAACGTACCGGTAACATTGTATAAATTATATATACAAATATAACGCAGCCTCCACTAGTATTAAATGATTTTCTGACATTGTTATATTGATATACATGTATGGGAAATATTGGAGTTGGTGAATTGAAATAAAAGAGATATAAGAGATAAAAATTAATTTTGTGTAATTTTACTTAAAGGATATAGTTTAAAATAATTAAATATGTAAGTGTAGTTACTTAATTATAGGAACAGTAATCGATTTTGCCTTAATGATTAAAATGACTAATATTTTTGGGTGTCATTTAATTTAACAGGAGAAAACATTAGAAAGAAAATAACTTTAATCATTTGTGTGAAATAGAGTTATCAGAATTTTTATTATTTTGATAAAATTTGAGAATGAAAAGTGGTCACATGGATCCTTTACTTTTTGTTATTGTTGTCAATGATGTCGACAAGACCATAGAATTTAGTAACATTAATATTAATGCTGATGATATACACAAGAATAGCTTGCATGTAGAAGTCACGTAACTTACAGGGTGATCTGGATAGTTTAACTACTTAGTGCTTAAAAACTAATCTCATTATTAATAGTGGAAATTGTCAACTTATATCGTTCACCAGGAAAGGAACTCTTCTAAATTTTGCCTACAATATAGGTAGTTGTAGTAGGCTTAAGGTTGTCTAAGATTTGGGTGCTTTATGTGATTTTATAAGTTTGATTTCAGGTTTCACATGGGCAATATTATTGGTAGAGCCAACCCAATGATTTGTTTTATTAAAAGATGAACAAGGTATCTTTTTATTAAAAGATAACAAAAAGATGAATGACCCGAAAATGACAGTTTCGCCTTATGTGACTTTCGTTAGACCTCTTTTGGAATATGCTAGTCAGGTGTGGTTTTCCCATTATGTGTCTCACATTGTTTGGATTGAGGTTATTCCGTCCAAACAAAAAAGATTTGTTCGATTCGATCTTAATAGTCTGAATCCGATGGATTAGTGTCCTTCTTATGATGATGAACTTAATCGACAGGGCCTGGATTCATTTGTTAGGAGGCACGAGGTTCTGATATAGTTTTTATTCATCAACTTCTCAATGGTTTTATTAAATCGCCATTTCTAATAAGTAAATTTAGTCTTCGAGTATTGGATAATTCATTGAGTAATATTGAACTATTAGTTCATATTGAACAGTGTAGATTTTCACCGTATTAATTATAGTATACATGAACCGATATATCGAATGTTTAAGTTTTGTAATGAGAGCCAGACTATTTTTGATTTTAATATGACCAAGGGGGTGTTGCAACTTTTGACAAAGTTTATTTTTTCAATAAATACTTGCTTTTATAATTCGCAACGTCTAAAAATTAAATAAATAAAATATTAATTGAAAAATTAAAAATTATTTAAATTTTTGTAAATTTGGTAACAATTAAATAATGGAGACGTTAGTTGTAATTTCAATATGAATTTTAATCTTACAAGGTATTTTAAGTATTTCACGATCATTTATACTTCCGTACTTTGAGCTTAATGTAGCCTGCATATTAAATTCATAATTTTGCCCTTGTATTTTAATTTTTAAATTACTGTGAATGGGCTTGTAGCAAGCATAAACAAATAAATAAAAAGTTAAGTTTGAAGAAAATTTTTCGAATTCCATTATTCTTAAAATTTGTTAAAATTTAATGACCGAAAATTGTAAATCGGATGAATAATAAAAATTTTCCATTGATGTTTGAATTATAAAAGTCTAGGCAAAAGAATGAACTATTTGCAATATAATTTATTAAAATTTCATCTAAATATTGACATATTCTACCCCCATGTATTACAAGTTTTAATTTTTCCATTTCATTTTAGAATTAATATATGTAGCTCTAAATTTGATTAATATTAAATGAAACCATTATGCACTTAAATTTTAAATTTTAATTATAAAATTAATTTCACTTAAATTTTAACTGACCAATATATGACGTAGCGACTAGTTATGGAAAGGGAGGAGATGGCACTTTTATAAAATAGGGGCAGTATAAGGATATGCTTTAAATTATTAATTAATTTCAAATTTGTTACATAAAATTAATTAAGTAAATATTTAATTTTTTTTTTTTTGTCGTCACATTTTATTGTAAAAATAATTTATTAAAAATAAATATTTACTTTTGTTTATTGCTTATGTATAAAAAATATAATTAAAATTATTTGAATTTGTTTTTTTTTGTTTTATTTTTAAATTTGAGGTCACCACAGCGACATAAACGTACGTCATTTTTAATTATAAAATAATTAACATTTATTAAATATTTAATTTGATTGGTGAAAAATTTTTAATTAAATAATAATTTTATTTTTAAATATTGAAGAATTTAAAATTGAGAATAATAAAGTTGGGTCAAACCAAGGATTTGTAGTGTAGCAATTTTCTCTCCAACAAATGAAAATACTCCTTCTAAAAACAATCTCCTACATTATGGAAAGCTCATTTTTCATTCATATACGAATATATTTCAAAAATTGCATACCTTAAGGATGAGCGATATATTCAGTCTTTGAAATAAACCAAAAAAAATGGAGAGAGACATTAACACAACGCTCTTAAAGATGGAGCTCCCTCCAATAAGGGAGGGACTTAGAAGGATAAAGGAAACTTTAACATAATTCAAGGATTAATGGCGGGAGTTAAGAAAAATAATTATATACTCGTATTTTAATATATAAAAAAATTCGAATTTTACAAATTTCGAAAGGCTATAACTTGAGAAGCGACTGAAGTGGAAAAAATTGCTTCTAACGAAATGAGCTATTTAATGGTGTCTAAAAGCTGTTAAAATTTCAGATTCCTAAAATTTGCGATCCAGAATCAAAAAACGATATCAAAATTTTGCAAAAAGCGGATTTTCGGTGCCGAAAAATTAATTTCAAGTAAGGTATGGCGCGGTAGATGTGTATATAGAAATTTCAGCTTTCTATCTTCAAAAATGTAAAAGTTTTGTAAACATGTCCACGGACGAACGGCCGGGTGGGCAAAGCGGAACTAATAAACAACTCTTTCAAAATTTCCTTGGAAATGTGCTAAAAACTACCTATCTTTAGAAAGTTCTTATGGTCTGCCGCTTCCGAATTTTGGAATATTTGTCATAATAAAATGATCAAATTTACTGATACAAAATTACCAATCAATTGCATAATATTAAGGTTATATAGTAGTGTGAAAAATTAGAAGCTTGTCATAATGCTTACATTCTTTTCTTATTAAATAATTGGACTCCATAGCAGTCTTGTTGTTTAATTTATTAAATTATTTTTAAAAAATTAATAATATTTTTTCAATCACTTAATCTTTAATAATATTAAAATTCTATAATCCGAACGTCATTATGATTTCAAATCACGTAAACACTTATTTAAAAAAAAATTTACTGAAATTAAATAACTTGAAAATTTTGTGTATATTGGAAAATTTTTCAATTTTTTTTTTAATCTAAATTGCGGTAATTTGCTTCAGGATATTTAATTATTATTATTATATTGGGTTTTCTAAAGGAAGTGAGTTAATCCTACGTAAAAATTCAAATAACAATTTATAAGTTATTGATAAGTTGGAAATTGGATTTTTTAAAATTATTTGTTCGTGAATTAATTAAAAGTGATTTTTGTTTTAATAGTAAAATTTATTATTTATATTTACGCGTTGTTATGATTTTTTTCTAAGTTCACTTTTCACATATTGAAGTAACACTCTAATTAACGTCTGAGATGGAAATTGCTATAACAACAAGAGGCAAAGAGAATTTATAATAACAGTTAGTGTTTTTCTTCACGAATCACAGAAACAATTTAGTGTTTTATAAACCATAATCGTTTGTAAAGGGCGCAATTCGGAGTAGACCGAATAACTGATCGTTATGTGTTTTGTCTAATTTAGCAAAAGAAGATTATGAAAATGCATCTTAAATTTTTTATTCTAATTTTAAGCAAGTAAGTAAGTTTTTCGTTAATATATGTTACCTATAGAAACATGTAATTTTGGGTCCTAGAATTTTAATTAAAACTAATTTAGAGTTTTGCATTGCACCATTTAAATTCTTTCAAAATTTTCTGATTCGTCAGTTAGTTTCTGCAACAATCAAAACTCAAATATTTAATTTTAAGAAATTCTATTTAAATAATTTCGTAGATATGGTAAGAAATGTAAAATCGGTCCCTAATTCAGTGTCCGAGCCCAGAGCGATCAAAAAAAATTTATTATCATTGCCATTATAAGTTCATTGTTTCAATACCCTTACTTCAAATATTCAATTTCAAGGAAATTGGGTTGATTATTTGTCTTTATAAGTGCAAAAATTTAAAATCTGATATATTTTAAAAGTTGATTCATGCGTGTCGTAGCCAAAATAAATTTATATATAAACTTTCATCAAAATCCGTTCAGCCGAACTTAAGATATATACTTGAGAACAGACATACCGGCCGACCGACTTCTCTTTAACAATTGTTTATTTATGTTTCCCTGCCATGGAGAGGTGCTTTTCCCCCGAAAACTCGATATGCGAAATTTGATGTGATCGCAATACCCTTATTGTACACAACGCAGCCGGTAATTATACAATTATTACCGTAATGAATAAATAATGGTAATTTTTCAGTAATCGTGTCTTCTCCCCAATCCAAACAAATCAACTTCGTGTTGAGATTTTTTTCTTTGTTTTTGTTGACATCCTTTGTTTTATATTTGCATGTATTTAATAATTAATTACAAAAATTATGATTTCAAATGTCATTAACAAATCAAAAATAGCTACATTAAATAATAGTTCTGATTTTTTCTAATATTTCAGAAAATTACACAAGCAAAATGAATTTTTGATTAGTGAAAATTTCTTTATCACTGTATTTTTGAAATTAATGTTCTAAATAATTAAATATTCATAAAATTATTCCTCTTCTCCTTCTAATATTATCACTCTCAGAGATATCAATTTTGTAGGAATAGAATTTGAAGAGAAAGGTTAGGGAATATTGGTAAAATTACTGATAAAAAATTCAATTACCGTCATTCTTCTTTTATATAGAATTTTATCGACGAAGAATTTTTTTAACTTTTATATGATTATACTAGTATAACAATATCATTGCCATTTTTTAAAAATTTTATTGAACTTTTGTTCTTTTCTTTAGAAATATACCGAAAAAGGTAAACAGTTTCAATTCAGTAATGCTAAAGGATATACATTAAAAGTGCTTTTGTAATATTCTTATATTATCCACAAATATATCATAGTATTATGCCTACATATATACAAGTTTTATATCATAGTATTATACATAAACAAAATATCTACTTACCGTGGCAAACCAACATAGGCTAAGGCAATTTCCATTGCTAAAAATGTTCCAATAATGATGTAAGAGACAAGAACCAAAAAAATTTCATTCATAGCTGGCTTTGACAAGACACCCAATAAACCTTTATTAAGAAAAACAAAAAAAAAATACATATTCATTTTAAAAGGAGGATATTTGAAAGGATTTTATAGGAGGCATTTTAATATTTAACCTCGTTGTATGCATACCCATTGTTCTATATCGTAATAATAACATTTTTATGTTTATGATCCCATGCGTTTAAATTTGTATGTATATATTGTATAGTTGTGTATATAGAAACAATTAACGTATACAAAATTAATTTATGTGTTAATATAAATTTAAATTGGCATTTTGATTAAAATAATAATATACGGTAAGTCTTATTTTCTGTCAGTATTTCATTTTGAATTAAAATATAATTATGTGGTTTTGTTTCAAGAATTTCCTGAACTTGGCATCAAAGCATATTATGTACATATTATGTAGGTAGGTATGTGTATTTGGAGATTATTTTTTAAAAGGATGGAAGCGGTATGGAACAATATTAATTTGACAGTTGATAATTTTCAGAGTAGAATGGATTTTTTTTCTCTTAACGTATTCAATATTTTTTTGCTTTTAATTTAATATTTAATAATAAAAGGTTGTTATTCAATATTAAAACTATGAAATGGTTTTTAGTTCAAAATAGTTATGTGTCATTTTATTACATCGCACGTTTGCGAGAACAATGACATAAGTCAAAAAGCTGAGTCGAAAACTTGCTTTTATTGCTATTTTAATATTATAGTGCTCTTCTGTAACAAAATAATACTTGTGTAGAATAGTTCTATACCAACGTTTTTTAGACTTCGGTAGTAATTTACACTCTACGCGCTATAAATACTTTAAATTTCGGAAGTCGAAGTTATATTTTTGAGTTGTGCCGTTATTCCTCCCAATATACGATATGTAATTTATACATGAACTTATTTTTATCAAAACTTTGAAGTTTTCAAACAAAATAAACTTGCGTGCTCTAAAATAAAAGCCTGCGAGGCCGTAAATTAGTATATTTCTTGAATAGATTACATTGAATTCAAAGTTAAAAATTTATACTTTAAAATAAATTCGAACTTTTTATCAATTTCTTAATAGCTTTGATACGAAAAGTGATGTATAGGAATAAAATTACGGGAAATTCAAATTGGAATTAAATAAAGATCAGGGGCCTAGGTATAGAGCTCATATAAGGGGATGGGAATCACAAAAGATCCTATGAGTCGACGTGACGGGGGCTTAAGGATCTCGATCCCCGGGGAGAAAAAAAAAAACATCACTCATAACATCCATCACAAAACATACTACAACAAAAATCAACACTATACACTTCCTCTTGCACATCACAGATGGATAGGCGCAAACAACATGTTCCACATCCTCCAACTTCGCAATATTCTGACATCCACGATATATATTCGCCGTAGCTATTTTCGATTAGAGGTAATGTCCTAACAGCACCCTCACCAGTATGCTGAGATCAGCCCTGCTTTATCTTAACAATGCCTTCGTCCGCTTCCTATCGTTCTAGCTACCACGCTTGTGTGAGCCTCCGCCTACAAAACTGGTATTTTTAAATATTCCGTATTTTTAAATATTGTACACTGTACAATGAAACCTTCCAAAATCAAATGAAGAAACATTAATTTGCTTTCTTTATGAAATATAAAATTAACTGTCTTTTTTTAAAAGAAAGCTTGCTGGCTAGAATGTGTCTTATTACTTTTATTTCTTAAAAACAAATCAAGTAACGCCAAGTAAATGAAATTTTGAAATCATAATATTTTATATTTATATAAAATATCCTTTTAATATTATCTTCTCAGATGTCATCTTAAATTTTCAAGTCAAAAAATAAAATATCCTTTAATCCAAAAATATGCGTGTTAAAATAAAATTATTTTAATCGTAAATAAGTTAAACTTTTCTATAAATATAAATTTATAAATATAATTTTTTTTTTTTTGTTTGCAATATGTTTGGTATTTTTCATAAGTCTAAAAGCTTAACCTTATTTAATAACATCAGATATATATATATTTACTTGTATGTGTATTAAAGAATTTACGATGTTATAAACCCTAAGGGAACCAAGTTTTCAGGTGAAAAAATTTATAAATAAATGGGTGATTTTGGCACAAAATCCAAAAAAAATGAATCAAAATATTTGCTTTCAGGAAAAATTGAAAGTACGAAAATTTACTCATACTTATTTCATATAGAAAGTTCATACAGAAAAGCACATTTCACTTTAGTTTAGATGAGGACGACATTGAGTCAGGAAATAAGAGAAAACTCTTATCTTTGAAAATTCAAAATAATTGGTAAAAGGAAGTGTTTTAGATTTTTTGATCTTGCTGAGGCAGTATTTCGAAAAACTTCGAAAAGTTTTATTATACGAGTATCAAGATTTCTGAATGAATTTTCAAAGTTAATTATTAAAAATTACTTTTTTGAGTTACAAGGACTAATAATTTCTTCTATATTTTTTTGCAATTGGAAAATAATTTTTATTTATTTGAGCTTGAAACTTCAAAAGTATGTGCACCTACGTTAGAACTTTGAATAAACTCAATTAGAACATAAAATTAGAGCAGTATACATCCAAATTTACTTGATATTCTCATTAAATGACTGAAAAATTTACCAAGGGTATGATCGTCTCTCGGTATTTATTTTACTCTGCAAGTCAGTAGAAAGTGAGTAACTATCATATATTTGTGTAATGCAATTTCTGAGTGAGAAGTGAATTATTCAATATTTCGTATAACTTTATTTTTGAAAGTGAGACATTCAACTGAAAATTTAAGAAAAAATACAAAAATAAAATTGAAAAAATGACTAATCTTATCGGAAAAATGAAATATCCGTTAGAAAAATGAGGAATTCTGATTTGAAAGTGAATAAAAAGTGAGTAAAGAAGCGAGATATACGATTAGGCTGCTGTAAGTATTAAATGTATACTAATGCTTTAAAAAATTTTATTTATTTGCATAAGCTTTACCCCTTCCTATTTTAAATTATAGTCTTAAACCCTATAATGTGTGTTTAACCTAATATGTATTTAAGTGAGTATTTATTATACAAAATTTTCTTTGTACATAATATTTTTGTAAATATTGAAAAGTTTATTTACCATTATAAAAAATTGTATTTGATTTTGTATTTAAATTTTTTTTTTTGTTACTTCAAATATACATACACACATATACATATGTATTAATAACTTATAATATTAAATTGAGTAAATGTAAAGATTTGGTTTTGAAGCAAAAAAGAATAAGGACTTACAGGCATATACGATTGCACAAATTCCAAGAACAAAAAGTAAAGCAAGTACATTATCGGGTATATTGAATGTTGTTACATTTGATGTCTTAGTAATTGAATCGTTATCATCAAAAGAGTTGTTATTCAAGTTGCTATTGATTAATGTTTCATTTGGTGTTTGTGTTATTTGACTTGTGATTGAATCATCTAATATTGGATCTTCAACATTTTCTTCCTTTATATTCTCTATAAATAGAATTTTTATAATTTGTAAATTAGTTTATTTAAAAATTTCTTTACCAGCTTCAATATTTAATCCCAATGCCATCATAGAATTTTTTCTATCCAAATCATATAGGTTTCGTTTGAACCTTTTGATATAATAAAAAAAATTTATTAAATAAATTAAATGAAAATTTTAATTGTAAAAAAAAAAATGCCTACTTAGATTATTTTAGTGTTATAAAAAATATAAAAATTTTTAATTGCTAGCTCATTAATAGATTCATAATAAAAATAGAAAGAAGTTCTCTAATTACGAAAATCATGTAGGATCACATTTTTTTGAGAACTTATCACTACATTATTTGAATTCACAGTATTTCCAGTTGATTTCTAGTGGAGTTTTGCATGAAATTTGAAAAAGAATATAGATACATTTGAGAGTATCCAAGCTTTTTCGCTAGAATGTGATTATTTGGTCATTTTTGTAACAATTTACCAAAATACATGAGGAATTTCAAATAAAATTGCTTTGAATTTTTTTTGAACGAAGCACGTTTTTTAAAAAATTTTCTAATATTAATATTTTTTGATGAAAATTTCTTGCTATTGTTTAAAATAATTGGTTGATTCACCAACTTTATTTGGTGAACGATTTGAAATGGCAAGTTAATTTTATCTCTTCCACTATCTCTTTACAACCAAGCAAACCAACCTCCTTGGCGAATCTCAAAAGCCGCGCCAAATACTCCTCCGACAAGTACCCAAAGAAATTATGAAAGAAAGTCGCCTCACAGAATGCGCTGCCTCTTCCACATCAGGAACGGGCAGACTCCACTATCTTTTTATAAGCGACTCTGCGATTCATTGCAATATATGAAACGCAAAAAATCATAGCTACCAATCGTAGCAAAATAACTAATATTTTTTAATAATTTTAAACAATATTAAATAGAAAACTACATGAACAACAATGCATTGAAAATATTTGGGACTTAATAAAAATAATGCATAAATTAAATTAATTTTTCATCCAGTAATATACAATGGGGATGTGCTGAAAAAATAAAATACAAAATACTCGTATCTACACCTATATATTAGACATACATACATATTTACCTAAAATTTTTGTATCGATGCTTGTGATGTGTTATTTTATGAAAACGTTTTTTCCTTCTAAAATGCATTAAATAATTGACATCATAGCTATTCAAAGGATTATGATTTATTTTTGCTGTTGATGCAAAATTTTTTATTTTATTTTCATTTTGAATAATTTCTAAAGAATTTTTTTTTAAAGTTGATTTTAAATTACTGCCAGCGGTAGTAGTAGCATTTGGACTTTTAATAAAATCAATTTTATTTTTATAATTTTTTTGTAAATGCAGCTGATGTTGTGAATTTTCATTTACTGATTTAAATTCTATTGGAAATTCTGATGGAAGTACTGATGATGAAGATTGTGTATGTGTTAAAAATAATCCTTTTGTATTACTATTATTCAAATTATCATTTGATTCATCATTTTTTCGAGATAAAATTATAACATTTTCAATTTGAATATTTGGTTGATGTTGGTTATTTTGCTGGTACTGATGATGATGATGATGCTGATGATGATTTTGATTTTGATGATAATTTTGATTTCTTTCAATATTAAACATTTTATTTGTTTGAAATGTTGTTGGTAATATCTCTCGATTTCTTATTGATGCTGATGTACTTGTTAAATAAAATGTACTTACAATTATATGGACACTAGCTAATGCCAATACAAGTATTAATAATAAACCTAATATATGCGTTGTATTACTTTGATTCATACGAAGGAAATACCTTTGATAGAGCATTTCCACCTATAGAAAACAAAAAGGAAGATATTCTTGTTTATAATTATATTGGTAACGGTATATATAATTGAATAATATAATTGAGTAAAAAATATAATAGTGAAAGTTAATTTACTAGCAATTGAATAAAAATGAATAAAATGTCAAATGTCAAAGAGGTTTCTTTTTAGTTTCGCGTATAGTGTATATAATATGATTGTTTTGTGAATATTTATTTTATGGAGCTACTTTTGATTTTGGTAAGGAAATATTTTTGTAATCTCAAAGTAAAGATATTGCTTATTTCAAACAGAGAATTTGAAATTTAATCGTTTTCAGTTTCTCTTATTCGCATAGTAGCATTTATTCAATGCGATATATTTACTTCTTACTTCAGATAATAATTTTGTGTAGAACTTCTCGTAAAGTTGATAATAATACTTAAATATTAATTGTCAATACGCGTATATGGATGAAATTAAATGCATTCAAATTTTTAGCGAATAGTCATAACGTACATATATCGCGATTTAAGCGTAACCAAAAAGTATACACAGCTTTCCTTTAAAATTTCCATCTTAACACTAAGCCCATGAATCAATAATATCTTTACATTCAATACATTAATTATTATTTTCTAAAAATTTTTTTCACAATTTGGGCATAAATTTTTTAACATAATTTTACACAAAATGTGTGTGAATAAAAAAATTTTCCAAATTAATATTTTAATTTTCTTAATACACTTGGGGCTTGAATCGATCGACGCTATAAAAATTTCAATTTGAAAAATATTTAAAAATTTTATTTTTATCATAACATATAATACGAGTATTAAATATTCATTATTGTGGGTCCTGCGGAAAAATATTTGATATTCTGATTGAATTTTTGTTTATAACAAAATAAGTTTTTGATTATTTCAAGGATTTTATCATGTTTAAAATCTTAAAGACATGTGTAAGGGAATATTACTTAGGTCTTAATTATGCAAACAAAACATAACATTGATTTTAAGTTATTTTTGGACTTGCAAATAAAATTCAAAATAAATCAAGGGAAGAAAGACTTACACATTTTTAAAAGCTCATGCATCTGTTTAATAAAATAATCTTTAATATTTTAAACGCGCACAAATGAAATTTAAAAAAAATACAAAATCACTTTAAATACCGAAAATTGTAATTTTTATTCTTTTAATAAAAAAAAATTGTTAAAAATATTTTAGAAATAAATAAAAATTAAAATGTTGTTCTTCAATTTTTAAAGGTGACCATTATTATAATATCAATTATAAGTACATTTTTGTTTTATGTTTGTTATCAATTTCATATGAGAATTAACAATGAACTATTCCTTGCTACAACTGCAGAACAGATGGATGACGTAAACAGAGGAATGATTCAAGGTGAAAAAGGAAAGGCTATCGCAAGTAAACAATACTTGGCAGTCATAATGATTATTGTATAAAGCAATGTTGAAAAAAACATGTCAATTTCTTTATACCTCAGTTGGTACAGCGTCCGCCTAGAAAGCAAAAGGTCACTCGTTAGAAACCAGTTCGAGAAGAAAAATTTCTATTATTAACGTAAGCTATGCAGAAATAAAAGTGCTTAATTTAGATACTCTGATCACTCAATTTTATATGAAACAAAATATATTAGATTTTAAACCTGAAAAGGTTTTTCAACAAGAAATGAATTTATTTAATAATGTAGAAGGAAATAACACCGAAAATTTAATAACAGTTTTTCGCATCACAAAATTTCTGAAAATTTTGTATTTTAAAGAATTTCGCGTTGTTGAAATATGTAAGAGAATAAGTGAAAAACGGTCACACTATCCTATGTTTTGTTTTTTTGTAGAAAAAATTTACATATTGTGTACAAAAGCGTGTACTGTTAAAATTTGAAATTCATGTACATATGTATGTATTATGTAAATAAAGCTTGTAACAATAAAAAATACTAATGTAATTTAATTTTATTTTTTTTTCCGATGTGAATACCAAATGTTTTTTTTTTTGCATTTATTTTTACATATGTATGCATGTACCTCAATATTATAATAGATTTCGGCGAAATGTTAAAATACAAATTCGTGGATAAAAAATTAGGGATGGGGGATATAAAATTGTGTGCCTATTAAAGAATTTAATTGAATAATTTCGCGGTGATATAGTGATATTTTCGGATGTAAGATGATTTTGTGTTGTGATGTACTGTTATTAGAAAATTAATGCTGCGTTTTAACTGGAGTTACTTTAAGCTGAGTTAAATATTGTGATATCTTTATAGCTAAACATGTATAATATCGGACCTGTTGTAAAACTCTGGATTACGGCTAATAAAAAATCACTGTACGAATGAAATAAAAGTGTTTATAAATAGAAGCCTGAGAATCATCTGTGAACTATTTTAACCCAGACGAATACGCAATACAGACCTCTAAGCTGTAATCCGGCAAGAATAAGCATAATAAAGATGAGAATATGGAGATAGTGTCGAGTTCGCAGGGGAAAAGAATTGTTGGATGACCTAAGTAAATATAGTAGAGAATAGTAAAAAATAAAATCGCCACGGCTAACATTGCATGGGCAGAAGTAAAAAGAATGGCTCGTAATCGAGGGTTAGTTTGAGAAGCTTTGTGAAAGTCGTATGCTCTCTTTAATGAAGCAGAAGTAAAAAATAGTTATACATAGTATATAAACACCAAAACATTTTAAGTAAACCCGTTTGAGTGCTGTAAAACCCTATGGTTTCTGTAGCTAGCTTCAAATTGGCTGTTTTAAAATACAGTAAAAATAGATCAAGTAAGTGGCCAGTTGACATGTTTCGTTGAATTTTTTATGCCTGTTATTTTTTCATTGTTGATCTATCTAAATCTCTTGATTACTCTTGAATACTTTAAGAAATTTGCAATATCGTAAATAGAAAGTATATTTTTCCTTTTATTGAAGCGCTCTTCACTTAACTTTTATAGGTTTAATTTTCATGAATTTTACCGTTATATTTACGCATATTAACGCTTTTATCAATTACTTAAGAATCCATAAAAGGAAAGTATTAAGAAAAAGTTTCTTTCGCTTTAAAAAAATAAAACAATTTAATTAAAAGCATGATTTTTCTTCACTTTCCTTGAAGGAAAACCTTTAAAGACCCAATTTTAGTGAAGAAGAAAAAATTTTTTTTTGCAACTTTTTTTTACTTTATTTAATTTTTCTTTTTGAAACTTTTCTTTTTATCACAATTTATTGTTGCTCCTTTTAAGAGCAGAAAGTTGAAAGGGAGACGGTTGTATTTTCTTTTAGGTTAAAAAATATCCTTTTATCGAAAATTTATAAAAGATTTAAAATTTAACTACGATCTATTAATAAGCTTTAACTTAATAATTTTCATTTTAAAAAAGTGCCAAGTTCGTTTGAGTAGCAATAAGAGTAAAAGTGAAAATTTTAATAAAAAATGTAAAGGAAAAAAAATTCCAAACTGCAAAATTTTCTCAAAACACTTTTTTGTATTCATACATGCCCAACATAATAACATGTGTGTGTGTGTGCTACACAATTTTAATATGAAAGTGTGCATATGCGTAGTTTGTTGCAAAATTATAGTAATTTTCTATAATCCTTGAAAAATATCAAATTTAAATTAAAAAAAAAAAAGTAATTTAATTTATTTGTAATAAATTAGTTTGGTATTTTCGCAGGGTCATTCTAAGCGAAATGATTACCAGCATGTTATTTTAATATATGAGGGTAAAATACAAATAATTTTAATAATATTTAATTAATAAATAAAAAATTTTTTGATCTTAAACAGTATTCTCACCTGTAAGTTCTTAAATTGATGTGTACTACATAATCTTATAATGACCTTGTTTAAACGAAACCAAAATGATATTGTCGGACTTATTAAATTCGGATTTCCTTCGCAATTACGATTATCACTTTCTGAACCTGAAATTTTTTTTAGAATATTATTACATTTATTAAAAAAATTGATATTAATAATTATGGAGTGAATTATGGAAGTGAAAAACCGTCCTCTAAATTCATGGATAAGTTAACATTCTTGGTTTTGTAAGACTTCCATTCTAAAAAAAACAAAACGAACTGTGTTAATTGCAAGCCTTAAAAGTTTTGAACCTGAACTTCAAATTTTAACCCCGTTAGCAATTCGAAATTGTATTCAAGACGACGATTTTTGTTATTCAAGAATGACGATTTTTGTTATACATGTTATACATGAAAATTTTTGGGATTTCAAATCAACAAGACTGAATTGATCACATAGAAGAAGATGCCTTTACGTATAAATTTATAATATTAACGAATTTATGTTCTCACTGTTGATGATCTTTTGCTTATTTGGGGTACATGTCTTTTGGGGTATTGGAACACTTTACCGTTTGATCGGAGCCTGAGAGCAGTACCATAAATCATTGGTTACTTTTACTTTGTTAATTTAAATATTAGTTGGAATTTACAAAAGAACTTTGATTTTATTTTAAATTTAAATCCTGAGGCATACCTACATACATATAAAGTAAATGTAAATAAATTTCTTTTATACTTCATTTGATTGATATTTTATTTTTAATACTTTGTGGCATAAAAAAATAAAAATAAAATTTTATTGCCTTTTCAAAAATTATAATTGCTCTAGAACTATGTATAATAAATATTTTTTTACTTTTCATAAATCAAAGAAAATCTATCAAAATTGAGCATGTGTCAGTTTCAGTTGACCCAATAAATTTGGATTTCAATCGAAATTCTTGAAAAATGTAAATTTATAGTTAATAAAGATTTTTAAGGAAATATAGATAATAAAATTTTATGACAATTTTATGATTTGTAATATTCTAACATAAGATTATTTAACCAGAAACAAATAAAGAAATAAAATGTATTCTCGTTTCAGGATCTTTTTGTTAAATTCTAATATAAGCATTTTAATAATCTTGAAAATGCCTTAATCTTTGAATTAAAAATGATGGTTTGGAAATGAAAATTTTATAGTTTTAAATAATAAAAATTTATATAAAAAATTTAATAAAGAAATCAATAAAGATTTAAAGATATCACACTTTGAGTAAAAATGTTAAATAACTCCCTCAGAAAGCAATTTTCAAATCTCATGCTTGACCTTCCGGTGACCTACATATATATAGCTTCAACACTTGAAGTTGTCTTCTTTTTGTATTATTTTCGTAGCCAAAATACGTATATTAAAATTTCTTGTCGCGTAACAGAATAAATTTTGCTAAACATGAATCAAACCACAAAATTCAAGAATATCAATCAAGTTACCGAATTAAGTAATATAGATTGGATAAAATTAAGCAACTATATAATGGGCGGATGAGCGGGCTAGGTGTGGCTCAGCCTTGGACATTTTTCTGGCGGAATGGATTTTTGTTGCCATAAAGCAACTGAAAATGAATATATGTATATATAGGCATTATTTATCGTGCACTTACCGCAGGTGGAAAGCCCAGTCCACATGCACGACAACAAAAAAGATGTGATCAAAATACGACCATAGGAAATTGGATGGACTCGGTGGGACCAACCAACCAACGTAACAATACACAGAAGTGGTATTCTCTTCCATAATTTTATTTGCATACCCTAATACGAATTTTATCGAAATACGAAATGTATTATAAAAAAATCACACACAATTTAACCATTCATACACGTTTTTTCATATATGTACATAAAGTGTTTATAAGCACATTTATATGGTTTGCAATATTTTTGCTAAAATGAATAGAATTGTAATCAAACTCGTACCTAAAAGCTTGTATCCATTGTGGCCGTAATAATGGCTAAGTATACTTCTTGCTCATTTTCCATTAAAAAAAATACATTTTTTTGTTTCCTTTTCACCCTTATGCAAATTGAAAATTATACAAGTTTTCTGCATTGACTTATAAAAGGATAAAAAAATATGGTGGCTGTCTTGAATTATTTTCATTCTTTGTCTATTCCAATGAATTTATATTGAAGTGTGATCATTTTTTAAAGTTGAAAACAAAATCAAGCCTTCAAATGGATTAATGATGTGTTCTTCGTAATCAATGTTTATTACAAAAGAAAAAAGAGAAAGGAGAAGAGGGAGAAGGAAATGAATAATAAAAATAACAATAATAATGGAAAGTAAGTTGCACTATGAAAAATAATGCCATTTTTCTAAGATTGCTTTTAAAATTTCGAAGAGTGTAAATGGTCTATTCAAAATAGAAGTTAAAATTTCAATTAGACAATTAAATTACATATCCTTTCTGTTTGTTACATAGAAGCTACTGTTGAATACATAGAGAATCAATGCACGAAACCAATAACATCACGGAATTTGAGGCAGAAAAATCTATTTTCAATACCTGATTTAAATTAGGAAGAAGAGAATTAGAACTAACTAATACATAATTGAAAATCGAAAGAACATATTATTGATTGTAATCGGAACATAATTGTCAGAACCCGCAGGTGTTTACTAAAAATTTCCAATTTTATCCATTGACCCGCTCATTTTATGATTTTCACACTAAACCAAAAAGCCAAATAAATTAAAGAGTGTAACGTTTTAAGGGAACGAGATTGATGAAAGAGTCAAGTATTAGACGATTAGACCTTTGGATTAAATGTAAGAATAGTCGGATTAACTACCGTATTGCATGTACCCCGTAGTTTTGGTCGGCCCATTAGTATTTTCGTAAGTAATGAAACAATATATGCAACACGAAGTTGAAGAAAGTTCCTTCCGTACTTTTATCGTTTGTTGTATTGAAGGTTAACAGAATGAAGAGATTTGAAAGCACGTGAGAAGTTCGAGAACATCGTCCGAATAATGTTATTGAATGAAAATAAATATAATTTTAATAGTAAAATTTACAGTGAAGATAGTAGGCCGAGGTTCAAACATTTAGATAACTCAGAAGAGGAAGAAAAATATTTAGAACTAAAGATCCAAATGGAGCTAAAGCCTGTAGCGACAAACGGATCATTGAATTCTCTGTGGGATAACATTGCGATAACAAAGTATTTGGAAGAACGAGAAATAAGATTTAGGTGTTTTCCAATCACTAAATAACATTAATTTCCAATTTGAATATTTTTCAGGTGTGGTTCCTGTTCGTATAGTTTATAATATGATTTTCTTGCAATTCTTGTACATTATTAAAATCAAATCACGTGTAGTTTTCAGTTCTATAATATTATTATAAAATTTTCTATTACATAGGTAGAATTTTAAATTTTTACAAATTTAAAACTTTATTTATGAGTTCTTTCAGTATAATAGCATTTAATACACGTATATCCGTTTGTAAAAAAAAATTTTTATTTCTTATGTCAGGCAAGTTTTTACCTTTAACATTTTTGCAATTTTTAATACATCAGTATATAAACAATATCACCATATTATTTGTGGTGTATATTGTATTCAACAAAATATACTATTATGGTGCAAATCTACCCAGGTATATTTTCACTCTATTTTTATGTGTCCATTTTATTTTTGTTATTCAATCCCCCCCCAACATTACTTTCCTTGTTTTTCTTGTTTTTGTATCCATCAAAATGAGAATAGGAAATTAAGAATCAAGATGAATGATCATAAAGTAGACGTAGAAAGAATAGAAACAAATTTGCTTTAGGAATACCTGTTTCATAGGCATTTGTATGATTTTTGTTTGTATGTAATAAATTAAACTACATGTATGCACATACAGTTATAAAATTTGAAAATTTGTTGCAGAAGATAGATATTTTGCAAGTGTGTCAATAATATGTACGACCATATACAAATATCTGACTTATACCAAATAATTTGCACAATTTTGCATAATTCATTATGCAAAATCTGCTTTGAAAGGATAAAAGTTATATTGAAATATTGTGAATAATTTATAAGGGTTTTAAGTGTGTGAATTTTATTGCATTAAGAATTAGTACATATATATAGGAAATGGAATTTTCAATAAATTTTTTTTTTATTTAAAATGTGTGTTAAATTTTTAATTTAAATAAAAATTTCATTATAATATTTATATTAAGTACAAAAAAAAAAACAATGGGAATACTTTTTATTAATAGTTCTAGGTTTGGTGGAATAATAGATCGATTCAATTGCTTTTCAAACGTAGAGGAGGTTTCGCATAAGGTATCAAATGGTTTCAGGGATAATTCTTTGATCAATTTCGAGCAAAAAATTGCATGAGTGGGGGCTGTTATATTTAATGTATAATATTTGTATGGGTTACAGCGTGTTCAAAAAAATAGGTATCAGATTTTTTTCTGCAAATAAATAAGCGGTTATAACGCGACATAGAGTAACTATCGGGGACTTGTTTTATAGGTGATGGATTACTCTTTACTTTCGATCTTAAAATAAATTTGATTTGAGCAATAGTTTTCAAGATAAATTTCGTCAAAGTTAGAATTTTTGATTTTTTTTTTATAATTTTTCTGAAAAACTCGAAATTTCTCGAAAATTTTTGTTTAATATTTTTTTAAACAAATTTTTAAAGAAAGGTTAAATACTTTATTATGAATATTTTATTCTCTTGTTTTGAATTTTGAGGATATTTAAGATACTTTTATGTGAATTATGTTTTATGTTTTATGTGAATATTGTAGGAACTCTCTAAGCCTCAATAAAAGCCTCAACTGAATCGAAATATTTTCAGTTCTTGAGCCCGTGATTGTGTACACGAAGTGATGATTTAACCTATATATCCTAAGATTAGTTTTTAGCACTTTTCCAAAAATTTTTTGAAAAAAGTGCTTATTAGTTTCACTCTGTCCGTCCGTCCGTCCGTGTGTCTGTTTACAAAACTTCTACATTCTTAAAATGTTTACTAAATTCTACATTCTAAAACATCGTAGAACAAAATTTTTACCTATCTCCCCCCCTCTAGAAGTTATACCACCCCAAAGCACTAAAAATAGCCTATTTTAACTATTTGTTGCAATGAAACCATAAGCATTTTTGAAATTTTGCAAACGCAGAAAGGCAGTAGCTTCCTTCCCCTAGCGCAGTATACTATAGCTAAACTTTAGAAAAACAAAATGGCCGTTCAAATTTACCGTTATCTAAAGTCCTTTTTTTCCAAATTTTTGATCTCGTTTTTCTTCTAAACCCCATAATGTAGAACTTTGAAATTTTAGCAGCTTTTAGACATTAATAAATAATTAATTTCGTTAGAAGAAAATTTTTTTCCATCTCCACCCCCTCTCAAGTTATGGCCTCTTGAAATTTGTAAAATTTGCATTTTCGCCGCCTTATATTTCTGAAACCGCAAGCTTTTTCAAATTTCTATAAACGCAAAAAGTTAACGGTAAATTCCATGATATTAAAAAATATAATTATTTTTCTTAACTCATACAATTAAACCTTAAAATCGAGCATTACGTTAACCCCTGCTTATATTAATTTTTGCTTTATTTCAAAGACTGCATAAATCGTTCATCCTAAACATATGCAATCCTAGAAATAGTTTTGTATATGAATGAAAATAATTTTAATAGTGTGATAGGTATACATACTCGTAGACTGTATTTAAAAGCAGAATTTTCACTTGTTGAAGGGAAAAGTGCTACAATACAAACCATTGGTTTGACCCAACTTTATTTATTTTTTTAGAGCTTGTAATCAAATTTTGAATATTTTAACATTTTTGTAACGCTTTAAAATTTTTTTAAACGCGATATTTATTTCGATTTTTCGCGAATTCCTCATAAATCTCATAATTTTTCATCTAATAGGTATTGCAAAACCATTTATATTTAGTTTCAAAAGATTGTACCAGCACATAATACGTATAAAATAAATTGAATTATGATACTTGTAAATATATTGTACACTTATGTATGAAATTTAAAATCTGCTTTACAAAATATAATAACAAAGAATTCAATAGGTTTGTAAAAAAGAACGAAAAATAATCAAAATTAAAATACATAATGTACTAATACCATGGCAGCATTATATTAATTTACAATGTTATTAAATAGAAGCTTATAAAGGATTTTCCAAGGTTTTAAAATTTATAATATAATAACTATTCAATATCCTTGAGGAAAATCGAATTTTAAAACTGTAAATGAGTATGGTGAAAGGTAATAAATGAATATATTCGATGTAATATGTGTGTGTGTATTTTCCGGTCAATTTGTGTATTATACTTCATTTAAAACTTGTGGCGTATATTGACTAATGTATGGAAACACTGTATCGTATATAAAAATTAAAATATTGAAAATTTAAATTTAGTAGAAAATTAGAATTAGACCATTAATACGTCTTTTTACTGACCGCATTGAATACAATAAGGGGAGGACATTTAATACAATAGGTGATGGCACCAAATTTTGCATATCGAGTTTTCGATGATAGAAATAATCAACAATTTCCTTAAAATTTATTATTTAAATTCGGTATGTTAAAACACTCAACCTATAATTTTTTTGGAAATATCAGGACTCGGAAACCAAACTAGATTTTAGTGGCCGATTTTAGATTTTTTACCATATAATTATACTGACCAAACTGATGGAATTTCTTGAAATTTAATATTTGAGTTTTGTTTGCTACCGAAACTAATTAATGATCTTTTCAGAGAACTAGAATTGCACAAAACGAAATCCTGCCAAGAATCAAATTAACACTTTTTCTAGGTGTCAAAGAATATTTTTTTATACTTTCGTTAGAAATGAAGTTGTGTTTAATTAATTTGAATTTTTGATGTCCTCATTTAAGAATTCCTTAAATTAAATCAAGTTCTTTAGTACTGAATTATTAATATACAACGTGTAGTTGTTTTAATTAGCAAGTATTGTGTCCTATTATACTAATAATATTAACTTTAATGGAAATTTCTTCATACAACTGCAGAACAGATGGACTACGTAATCAAAAGAAAATTTTTCATTTCAAACCAGTGACTTACCGCTTTCTGGACGGACACCCTACCAACTGAGCTACAGGAACTCTTTAGTATCTGTTATATATAAATTAAATAATGCTTTAAAGTTGGTCTTAATTTAAATTAAAATTTGTTTATTTTGCGAGTTTAATTTAATAACTTTTGAGACCTTTAAAGAAATAATGAAAACAATTACTGTCAATGTGTAGGTTTGACTAAAACAAAAATTCTTAGTTTCTATTCTATAAATAAACTTTTCTTAAGAAAAAAATTTAACGATTTCAAGCAACAAATGATAAAAAATTTAATGAGAGAGAGAAAGAGAGATAAAAATGTTATTTATTTTCTTTTCTGTTTCAAAATGCTTGATCACTGTAGTGACATTTTTCTTTTTCTGTTTCATAATTTCTATTATCGTTATGTTTACTCTCGTATTATTTTGTGTACTCTTAGCATAACATTTTTTGGTTAAGAATCTTTGAGTGTGCACAAATGTTAACGTAAAATGTATGTTTTGATTGTATAATATGGTTAAAAGGGACAACAAAAATATCAAAAATATCATTGGAAAAAATGTTAAACAAGAAAAACCTTAAGTTTAACTACTCTAAGGATATTATTTTGCCTGATGTCATTTTACACAAGAATTTTTTACGAAATTCGAGTGTTGTAAATCCTTATGGACAAAAACGTTTACATATCTATGGAATATACATAAACATTCATACATTTACTATGTACTTTAATGTAATAAATAAATTGTTGGATCAAAATGTTTGAATTGTATTTTTCGGGAGAGAAGCACAAACACTACAAAATAATAAAATTATTGCTTTTTCTTCTGTTCTGTTCAGTGTTTTGTTTTTTTTTTTTTCCAAAAGTAAATATAATTCATTTCATTTTGGTAATTCATAAATCTTTTAAGGCAATGAATTGAAATTTTAAGCCATAATATTGTGTACAATATTGAGAAACGTAAAATACGAAAACTTTTTCACTCTCTTCCAAATTTTCATTTTTATTTTAAGTTTTATTTTTCACTTTCCTTGTTTAAGAGTAAATTTAAGATGAATAATGTAACAGAGGAGAAAAAAAAATTAAAGAAGATTTTTTATTTTGCCTTTAAATTTACTTTACTTTTTTGTGTCATATTAAATTCTATTATTTTTGTCATTCTCCATTTTTAAAAAGAGAAAAAAATTTGGTTTTTGCAAAAAAAGAAAAACAAAAAAATGTAACAAAAATTTTGATTAAATTTTACGCAATGTAAATAACCGAGACCTAAGTAAGACCTTTTTTTTTTGTCTTGCTCTTGAACTGATGACTGGCTATATTATAATATATAAGGATATATGACGTATGTATGTGCTGTATATAGTAGATTTGATATCGTTCATCTTCTAATGTTAATGGATTTAGAGTATATATAGTTATCGGTGTGTCTCTGGCTTCATAATCATTGTTTCGGAATGGATTATTATTATGCAAGTATGTACACTTGTACGTACCATCATATAAGTAACGAAGTTGTTTTATTTTGTTTCTACTTTTGGTTGAATTAAAAACAAAAAATAAATAAATTTTTTAATAGGAATTTTTTTCTTTTATTAAAAATGTTAGGGAATATGAAGCGGGGTTGTAAACTGCCCAGGTTACATAAGCCATATTAATATGATACAAACATTTTGTAATAAGGGCGATGAGTTCATTTTTCCTCTTTTCACTTTGCATCTTTATTTTTGTTGTGTATATTGTAGAACCTTGTTGTATAGAACGAAAATATTAAGTAAAAGTTCATATAAGTTCAAAGGATATTTGAAATAGTTGGGAAGGTACACACCGGATGAAGGTAATATTTGCATATATGTATACCTAAAAATATGGTATGCATGTATGTATACCTAAAATGAATTTATAAATAAATTTTTTTTTAATATATTAGAATTGTTAGTGACTTTAAAGGGTTTTTTTTTTATAAATTCTTTTTTTGACAGAACTAAAAAAAAAATTCTTAATTTTAATGTATGGAAGTAACAGTTTATTTTTTATTTATAAAATATTTTCTTTTAAAATAACTTTAACTGAATGTGGGTTATGTATAAGTTCTGACAGTTTAATGTAAAATTTTAAATTTATTTTTTGTTCGAATTTATTTCTATTACGCAGATTTTGAATAGTTCTATAAATTATTTTAAAATTTTGTGGAAGAATTGTTATAAAATATTTTACGACATGGCAATATTGATTAATAGAGTAATTTAAAAAAAATTGCATATATTTAGGGGTAGCTTGTGATATTACTCATTTTCAAAAATTATATTGAATTCGTTAGAATAAACAATCTAACTTTGTTGATTTTAAAAATAATATAAAATCAGAGCTTTTCCCTGATAATAGCTGAAAACAATCACGGCAATTAATAACTCTGCAATTGCATATAAAAGCAAATAATGTTCAGAGCACTTAATTTTCTCAAAAAACAGTAAGAGTATAGGACGAAATAAAAATAGTTACCTTGTAATAAGGGTTGCTGAACATCTCGTTGGTGTACCATTGGACTATTACATATAGAACCGGATGCAGTAGAGTCTAACGATTCATCAACATTATATCTGGTAACACCGGCCTTTAATACAAATAAAATTTAATAAATATCAATAATTTTATCTTACATTGAATGAAATCAAATTAATAATAGGTTGCACTTACAGCAATTAAACTGCTACTAACTGATGATTTACCATCTTTAGCATTATTAAAATGTTCTATAACTTCCCAATTTGATTTTTTTGGTGTAGTCGGTTGCGTTGAAGATGGCTGTTGTCCTTGTGGTGATGGTGCTTGTAATTCTAATGAAACCTGTGGACTTCTATTTTGACGTAGCGAAGCTGAACGTCCAGTAAATTTTGCTTTTCTTGATAAAACACCAGAAACATCCTATAGAATTTTAGTAAGTATGTTAAGATATTTATTTTAAGTTTGTATATGTTTATCAAAATTTAAAAAAAAATTTATTGTGTAATGTTGGAAACACTTCATTTGAAAGGTATTTGAGCTGTGTCTAATTGGCGAACATGCCAAGAGGATGGCTGCCCAGCGAATGATCTTGATCTTTACAAGAGTTGCTGTGACGGAGAGGAGGAAGACGATCCCGCAACTCATCTTCTTAGCTCGTGCCCGATTTCATCTGCTTTGCTCATGTCGAATGTAAATGCCTGGACCTTAGCCGGGTTTTGGAAAGGTCGGGCTGGCTCTTGACCTATCTGGCCTATATGTACCTTACCGTAGCCGCGTTTACCTAACGTAACCTATTATGTTCAAATGATGCTTTGATGAAAAAAATGAAAATTTAAAGTCATAAACCTTAATGGTTGATCTTTATCCAAAAAAAGATGAAGAATTCGAAGGAGACACAAAATGTCATACACTTTTTTGAGAGAAAAATCTTTTTTCTTTTAAATTTCACCCTTTCTTATTCTATCCTTTTATAGCGGATGTTTAACATCCTGTACACAGAAAAGAATGAAAAAAAAAATAAAATGCAAAAATAGCTTTTTTTTCTCCTTCTTTTCTGGCTTTTTTGAACTCTTAAATGCTCTTTTCTTAAAGTCATTTATTCAATTAGAATACTGTTGCTGAGTTTAAAAATTGCAGTAATAAAAATAACAACAATAAAAATTCATATTTAATGCAATCTTATTCATTTCTTTTATAAAAGTTACTAAAAATAGCTATCAAAAGAAGTTTATCTTTTAATAAAGAGCAACAAAACGAAATAACAGAAGAAATAACAGAAGAAAAACTCATTTTCTTCTTTTATACGCTTTCAATTTTAAAACGTTGTCGTAACCGAAAACCCAATATTTTAATCTTGATCGTCCTTATTACCGCATCATCTACAAGAATATTATAATATTCGTGCAATATGTATAAGCAAATAATATTATATGGTATATGAGCATTACTGTATCTGAAACAAAGATTCAGCAAATATGATATAAAAGTTTTGTTACTTTACTTGAATTTGGTTAAGAGCAATGAATTTTTCTAAGAACTATAATGAAATACGTACATTATAATTGAATCAAGATTATTTAAAATTGCACATATATATAAAAGAACCATGTATTATGACACATAAATGTATAAAATTATTCATGAGTCATGACAACCACCACAATTTTTTGAATAAAAGAATAAAGGATAATATGAGAGACAACAAGAGAAAAAAATATTAATTTTCTTTACACTGAACAAATAAACTTGAGGGTTAAAAATTTTCTTTAGTATTTACATAATATGTATATGAAAATATTTTGTTTTTTACATTAAACTGTTATTAATACGATATTACTTTTGATTTCTTTAGAATATATGATTGTAGTTTAAATATGATAAAACTTTTCAGATACAAATTTATTGCATAAGAACCATAAAATTGCGTTCAATATACTTTAACTGAATTACAGCGTAACGTAGTATTGAGAGAATAAGAAATTATTTGAATTTCATTGTGTTTTTGAGAAGTAGAGTTCAAGGGGTGTCTAAGAATATTATTGGAAAAAATTTATATTAATTATGTTAGGTTGTAGTATCCAAGAAATACTAGTAAAATTTGTTAAATTTGTTTGTTATTAGCACTCTTTTTATGTGATGAGTGATGGGATTAAAATCAAAGAAACATTGAATAAATGAAATTTTTCGTTATTCAACAATAAAAATACAGGTATGGCGGTGCTCTTGCAATATAATGTTTATTCACTCCACTCAGTTTCTAATAAAAGAAACCTCACCTATGGATAAATAACAAAATTAAAAGAGAACTAAGTATATTATTAAGCTTGTGAATAACCCTTTCGACTCAGTTCTCGAAAAGTGTAATTAGCATATTTTTCCCATGTGGGATTTATTACCTTTTTTTAGAGATGTTTTGGACTTAACTGGTACATTTTATGTAGCAGCCGGGTCGAAAGTGTTTAAAACAATAATTTTCATAAATTAATTACCTCTTTAGCTGAGCGTCGGCTACCACGCAATGACAAACGTTTGCTCCAATCCTTTTTTTGACTTTCTGATGAAAATGAACGAAACATTGGTGAAGCTGATGATGAAAAAGTTGTCATAAGTTTTTAAAACACTGAAAAAGTGGTAAAAAAAAATTTTAATAATTAATTATTATGATAGAAGTTTTAAAAATTTAAATGAAATTAAATTTAATTTTTATAAAATAACAAATTGATTAATTCAATAAAATGGTGAAGCTGAAACAGAAAAATTCACACAAAATTAGATTTTCTTTTATCTCACCCAAGAGCAAAGGAAATAGTTCCTATTAAAAAATTTTAAATTTCTCGAGTGTCTTGCTATAAACTCTTTTACGTTTCTAGCTTATCATGTAATATATAAGTTAGTATAGAACGTTCCGCCCTAGAATATGATGAATTTTATGAAATATTTTAAAAATTCTAAAGAATCACTGTAATAGCAAAACCTATTTAAGCTATAATAGTTGCGGTCTTCGGGGTCTCATAAGTTGCTTGAGTTTATCATGAGGGTGGGTCCCGAGTGTGAGTTGTAGGGTGTATCTGTTCTAACAGCAAATTTTAAATAATAAGCTTCGTTTTGACACATTTGTCTCTCATCGAATTTTATTTTAAATTTAAATTTGAACATTAATTTCCGCATGCTTTTTTTCTCTCTCTCTCTATCTTTCTTTATTTTCCATATTTAGATAAATTTCAAGGTACTTTTTTAAAAACTCATGGAATTTTTTTTTTGGTTCAATTATAAACTTTGTAGTACTCTTATATTTTGTCTTCTTCTACGAATCAATAATGATGGTGATATAAAAATTTTTTTTTTTTGAAATAATATCCTTACTAATACAGAACGTGGAGAGTTAAAGTCCACACGATTCTCTGCTTTATTTAATATTTCCTAAAATATGGTTATATTTGTATCTAAATAATTGTGAGTAGCACTGAACTATGAACTGAGAGTGAGGAGAGAAAAGCAAGTAAAAATAGGTGACGTTCAGTATAAACATTAAAAAAAAAAGTGTCCTTAAGGAAGGAATTAAACAAGAAAGCAACCTTCCTTAAATTGTCCCTTAAAGAAAAAGGAAGTAAATATTGAAATAAAAAAAATTTAATGTGAAAACGTATGGGATGTAAGGGGTGTAAAATTCAATTGAAGAAAAAGCCTACACACAAATATTTTAGTACATGTGTAAGAAAAAACTTGAAAGGATAATAAAAAGAAAAAAATTTCAATAAAGAAAAAAAAATAAGTATTTTTGGGTGCCATAATTGAATTCAATCGTATACCTTAAGATTTTTATTTTTCTTAAAATTTGATTTATTTTTTAAAAATTTTCTTTTTTTTTTTTTTATTAACAAAATCTTAAAGTACAAAGAGTTCTGGTGAAAATTATAACAAATAAGAAAGAAGAAAAAAATAAATGAATTTTTTTTTCAATAGAAACCATTTTTAATGTTATCGTATATCCTTGGCGGTCATTTATTGCTTCCTCTTTTTTTTTAAATCAAATGAAGATCATGTACTTGGTTATAATATGCTTATAGAATTTTAAATAGGACAAATTATATTATGGGATTAGAAAGGAATATGTGAAATTTTAAGTTGATTAAATTTTCAATTGTGAATTGCAACCACATTTATTTTGAACAAACAGTATAGTTATGGTCACACAACAACGAATTTTAATAAAAATGATTACAAGAAATTTTTCAGTTTTTATGCTCTAGATTAGATTTTTATAATATAAATGAGGGGATCAGAAGCAAAGTTGCCTAAACTTCACTCTCAAAAATCAAACAATTTAAAGGTCATTTTCTTAACTCTGCATATTTCTACAATTTCATTTTATAATTATTCGCTACGTTGAGCTGTTGAAAAAAATATTCCTTACAAAATGATGATTTTTAGATGATTAAAAGTTTCTAATTATAAAGCAAGATATAGCTCTAAATTTCTGGAGGGAACCTGGTCATTTGAAATTATAATTTTTAATTTGTCTTTCCTAAAAATTAATAAATTGAGATTTCTTTTGATTAATCGTCAATAGTTACTATTGAAATTCCATTTTCAAATGCAAATAGCTATACAAATACTACTTTCACACTTATATTCTATATTCATTTTTTCAATGCCATTATTACATTTGATCGCGAGCTCTACAAGTTATCCCAAATTCTAAAAGATGTAGAATTGAACCAGATCAAAATAAATTGAGTTTATTGAGTTCTTAGCTTAGTTTAATTTATCACAACAATAAAAGAAAACCTTACGTAATATTATAAAATCCTTGAAAACATTTGATTAAAGTCACAAGGACATATTGGGATAACGTACAAATACCCCATTTCTAGAAATGTTAAAAATAAACGGGCATGTATACTTCTAAAATAGTTTACATAACAAGAAGTGGATGCAAGAGGATAAAACTTACTAGTTATTTTCTTCTCTTAATTTAAACAAGAAAAATTATTTATTTAAAGTTTGTACACTAGTTAAAAACTATATAGTATAAAGATATAGATGAAGAAAAGTATACTTTGAATTCAGAATGAAAGTCCATTGAAAGGATTGTAGGGGGAGAAAAAATTTATAATAGAGATAAAAAGTTTTTCTTCTCCATTTTTTTTTTTTGCTAATTTTAAATTAGTTCTCAAATTAAGAGTAACAATTTCTTTTATAAATAAATAATTTAGAACTTGATGGTAAGGAACAAAACAAAAAAAAATTTTTTATTTAAAATCATTTATTTAAAATGGTGAGAATAAAATTAGAAAACAACACCTGGATGAAGTGAAAACAAGAAGAAAATTTTAATTTTTATTTATTGTTGTTCTTTTGTTTAGGTTTTTCCTTTTCTTGTAATATAAATAAATAAATTTTAAGAAAAAAGAAAAGTTTAATTGGTTTTTGAATAATTTTTTCGAATTTTCTCATGAATTTTGAATTTAAAATTTTATTTTGTTTTTAAAATTGAAATTTAGTTTTTGTTAAAAGCTTGGATTATCCCCGTCACGTTTACACCAAAACAATGAGTGTGAAAATTTCTTATTTTGGTAGAGCTGATCTCAGTATACTGGGGGATGGAGTGTTGACGGGACATTGTCTCTTGGGGAAAATGTCCAAGAGGCTTGAGGTCGCTACGACGGATATAAGTCGTGATGGAGGTCAGAATATGGCGGAGGTGGAGAATGTTGAACATAATCTTTGTGTCTGTACGTTTTTGATATGGCAGAGAAAACGTATCCTTGGGGCTTTCTTTTATGATGGCCTGTAGGGCCTGTCCCAATAGTCTTTCGCGTAACTTTTCAGGTTTATCAAGGAGGTTGGTTGATTCGGGTAGATGGTCTTTAGGATCGGATTACATGGGGGTTTTGGGATGTTTTATTTGAGGGTTGCCGATATGGGCCTTTTTGTGTGCGTAGTGTATAGGCTCCACGTATCTTAGTACTATTGCTACTAATACTACGCTCTAGAATAAAAATGATATTATAATTTTGAAAAAATCAATGTCAACAGCCAATTTATTATTGCAATGTTTGACTGTTTTATATCGCTACAAAAAAAGCCATATTTCGGGATTTGCAGAATTTCAAAAATATTTTTGGTGCTAACACAATAAGTAGTCAAAAAAGGCGTTTTGAGAATTTTGAAGGGCTATAACTTTCAGAAGAGGAGAGATAGATAAAAATTTTCTTTTACAAAATCAAGTATTTAAGTTAAGATCTATTTGTGTGCAAAAATTTTAACTTTCTATCTTAAAGCATGTAAATTGCGTGATTTGTTAACAGATACGCGGACGGACGCCGACAGAGTGAAACTAATAAGAATTTTTTCAATTTTATTTTATGGAAAAATGCCAAAAACACAAAACAAACAACCGTTTTCTTTTTAATAAAATAACATGTACTTATTTTTATAAATAATTAAGATAAATGTAAGTAGACTTGAAGGTAAAATATTTCATATAATAAAATTTATTTAGAATCATTACAAATAATGTAAATTTATTTATATATCAGTGGCCTCAAACACAAACCGCCTAACTCGACTTAAGACAAAAATGAGATATGTTTACCAGCGAATTCTAAGTTTTGAGTTTCATATGCTCACAAAATTTGGTGGTTCTACGACTGTTGTAGCAGGAGTTAATGTCGAATTCACACATGACCTAACTCGAAATGGTAACTATGTGCACTTGCACTAATCGCCTAAATCGAGTTAAGAGCAGAAAACATCTTTTTTATGTTTTTGACAAACCACTCATTTCGAGATAGGCTATTGTTGCAAATCAAAATTAGTGACATTTTTTTTTTCATGTATGAATTTTTATAACCGCTTATCTCGAGTTAAGCTTTTGTTGCAAAATTAATTTTGAGTTTTTTTAAATACTAACTCGACATAAGCGATTTGTGTAAAATAATAATTGTTGGTTGTTTAAACTCATCTCGAGTTAGGCGATTATTACAAATACAATTACATTCCATAAGGCTTCTTATTCCATAAGGCCTACTTGTTCACTGTAGTCACTATATTTATCTCGAAATCACTAAAACAGACTTAAGTCGTTTGTGCTTGAAGCCACTGATATGTATAAATGTGTTTTTGTATAAAGTGCACGTTTTTAGTAAAATAACAACATTTTGACAAAAAACATTATAAGATTTTGTACATAGTTATAAAAATATGTGTGTATGTGTTTTTATTTCTACTATATTACTGAAATAAATTTTCACTTTGAAATCCTCTTCGGATTAACAGTTATGAATAAAAGATAATATTTATTATGTCACTTTTATAACATTATAATATATACGAATATGTCAGATTGTTTTATTATAAATATTTTATAATTAAGACATATTTCACTTAATAATATATTCAGTAATATCATATGAATGTCACATAAAGTACACACACCAAATATAATAATTTTATATATAGAATGTGCGTGTGTGTGTATGAATCTGTAGATATATATGGGACTTTTATAATGTAAAGTAAAGTAAATAATAATAATATTGTTTATATTAAAGTAACATTGAAAATATTTTTATAATTCTTTTGTCATTAATCCTCTTGAGAACTCACATTCTTTAC